GTATATTCAGGTCGGGAAAAAAGTCAGAAAGGTCTCCAGATATCCAGACCCAGTCTTCTCTCGTCCGTCTTGTCATCCCACAGGCCTCGTTTTATTTCGTCAAAGCGAGTGTTTCCGGCGGTTCTTCGGTTTATCAGTCCAAATATGTTTTCCACAAACGTTTAACAAAACAGCCCAGTCCAGTTTCCTCTTCTTACTCTTTGGTCGTTTCGATTTGGGGCTTGAACTAAACCGGTATTCCATGTAGATAGAACTCCCTATATAAATAACGAACACCCTACCCTCGGTGGCACCTACGTTGAACACCTTTGGTGTAAAGTTGCTGCTGGGCCATTTCCAAGGCATGAAAAGGGCTCTGCAGTTTAAACCGGTTCTTATTTTATATGAATTCAGTTCAGTTAAGTTCAGTCCAGTTTTGTCAGAAATAAGAACCGGTTACAACAGTTGAAAACGCTGTTCCGACTGAAAGCTCTCTCGAGACGACTCATCTCGTGCTTCTCACTAATCCTCAGGAACCTCCCACCCCCGGAACAACCCGCGTCCGTTCTACTCCCCAACCCCAACAGCAGGGGCGTGTGAAGGATAACAACAGAAACAAAGCAGCTTTACCAAGGCACATGACACAGACCCGGCTTAGCAATTGGCTCACCCGCGAAGCTTGCCTATCCAGGAAGTTTCCTGAATGAACTGGATTATCCGGGAGGTCTCCTGAATAAACTGGTTTCCTCCTCCATGAGCCGGTTTCGAAAACCTCCGGTCCAGTCAGGAACTCTGAGTTAAAACCGCTCACCCAGGAAGGCTTGGCTTGCTTGACCCTACCTGCTAAAACAATTCCAGCACGCTTGTACAATCATCACCCACGAGAGGTTGATACGAATGTTAAATAAGATATATGAGAAACAACTTAGAGACTTCTTACGGGTTTGTTCTTTTGTTTTCTGTACCTTAGGTAATGAGGATATAATTTGTTTCGCAATTGAGAGTTCGGGTGCATAGTCCTACAGATGATCAACCTTTTCAGAACCAATGATTTTAATCGGCGCTCTGAGTACATCCCAACTTGGAAATACCTCCTGGGAGAGCTGGCGTTACCTTATGCTTCCTGTCTGGACTCGAGGTTTTAGAAAACGGCTCATGCAGGAAGAAACCAGTTCACACTGGAAACCTCCTGGGTAATCCAGTTCATTCAGGAAACTTTGTGGATAGGCGCGCTTCGTGAATAAGCCAGAACAAAATGTTTCCGAGAACGTACCTCGGAGCTATCTGTCGTCGGTGTGTACAAGCCGGTTCGGTTTGTGTGTATATTGGAGAGCTTCGTCTCGGACAAAAAGGGGGGGTGAACTGTAGAAGAAAAGGAACAAGAGACCCCAGCGATATCAGTAGGAGAAGCATCATTCAAAGCATTTGTTGTAGATAACAAAAAATAAAAACGTTCGCAACACTGCTTTGGTTGCTACGTCTTTTTCTACGAATTCCGGAGGTGTTGAACGCTCGCACCGCCTATAGTGTTGGACTCTATCCCACTGGACCATCCAACCCACGTTCATGATGATTGCTTTGGCGTTATTGTCTGTATCTGGGCTCAGGATCTCACTCTTTACGCTAGCTTGGTAATACTTTATCTCGATGGGGATGGTCCGGAGCCGCGATGGTCTCTGCTACAACATACTACATATGTACATGTAAGTTGACTCACTCGAGGCATCACGCATTGAAAGACTTGATTACTGTAAATGACTTGTATTCTATAGACAGAATTCCGGAACCTCGACAAAAACCCAGTGGGAAAAGAGCGAACCGACAAGCCATAAGAGTACATTTCAGGAACCCAATCCAACAAAGATGGTGATCCATAAGATATGATAATGGTATGAGGGGGGAAATAGAAAGATGTTAAAGATGTTGTGTAAGGAAAGGAGGTAAAATGAAATAATAACAAAATGTCATTACATGACGAAGAACGGGAACCTCATTAAAAAACCCAGTGGGAAAAAGGGTGTTCCCGATAAATAAGAGAAAATAGGAGAGAAAGGCAATCAACATGACATAAATGTGTATCATCACGAAGGATCAAGTCTCTATGATATGAGAGAGGGATGAGAAATGATAGGTGCAATAACGGCAAGGAAGGAAATCTTACACATAGAATACCGAACCCTAGGTAACCGAGACGGCAGGAATATTGAACAGAAAATGAGGGATATCGTATCAACCTATTCCTAGAATACAGTACAGAAGAGAGGGGTCAGAATATATAGAAGAAACACAAGAAGGGAAGAAAGGCTTACGTTTAAAGGATGTGTATATGTGAGAGGGAATTGGAAATACGTTATGGCCTAAGATACAACAGACACGAGATGAATTAGAAAGAGTAGAGAGAAGCATATAAAGGAATGGGGATATTACGTATCAAGAGCGGACACCAAAATGAAAAAAAGGTCGATAAAAGGATAAAAAGGGAGGGGGATATAGAATGTAAATCCTAGAGTACAAAACACAAGATCAGAAACGTATAGAAGAAGAAGCAATTGAAACTTACCATGTAAAGAAAGGAAGGAAAGAAAGCTTTCCGTGGGGGCCTCGACACCGCCGCCCCCAAGGAGAGAAAAGAAGAAGGGAAGGAAGACTGAACGGGCGAGAAAGGGGTTTTGATAGTTGTGAAAAAGAAGGAGGGTAACAGGTCTGCGAGGTCTGAAAGGCCACATTGCCTATTTGTGTACGTTTCCGAACGCTCGAGGTAAAGTTCAAAAAGAGCCTCATCGGATAAGAGTAAATATTAGTAATGGATTGATTCCCAAGTTAGAGTTTCCGCTACTTTCCTGCTCTATACGGTGGCAACAATGTTTTAATTATAACCCGGCGTAGTAGCACCGCGCCCGTCCGACCACCGACCGCAAATAACTTTAAATCCAATCACGTTTTATAGCAGAAGCGATTTGAGTGCGTAAATATGAGTGTTAAACCAAACTCACTTGATAACCACCGACCACCCCCGGACCGGACGCCCCCAGCACTTCCGAAATACATAGTAGTTTACATAGCGCTAAGCTCAAGCTTGCTGGCTTTATGGACTTTTGGATCAAGTTAAATCATTTTGTTTTGAGTCGGACTATTTTTCTCAGCTTTGTAAGTACATGTAATCCCTTACGTTTTAACAGAAGAGAGGTACGGAATATTGGGAACTCCTTTTGGTGTTGTAGGGCCGTTCGTAGTACCTTTCATGGTAGTTAGCTCTATCATTCTAATGTCCCCCCAGGATTGGGATTCCATACTTCTGAATCACCTCACCCGATAATTTTCATGTCTCTAGATAAATGGAAGGGATAGTGGTAATCATAGTAGTGGTCGCGGGCGAGTGATAGTTCATGAAGTAAACCGATGTTCTATGTTTGCACGATCACCTACTCGGTAGCTCTCCCGGTGTCCCATTCAGTAGAACCCAAATCAACCTATCAGTATCGATATATCCCAGCAAATAATTATCATGGGAGTTTACAAATACCTTGACCTTGCCCAAGCTTGTGTTATGTGAGTAAGAACTAGTTGCCGGACAACATTTTGAGTCGTTCCTAATATTTGTCATTACCCAAACCAGGATTACCTTCGAGCTCGCGGGAGATAAAGTGCAACTGCCGGTTATGTGAATGTCGACGACACGTTTCCTACACTACCTACGGGAATTAACCTAGCTACACAAGGGCGTCTTTGTCCCAACTCTAATACCGTGGCATAGAGAGAGTCTTGCCGGTATCGATATTGATAGGTTCCAGGAAATTCGCTTTCCCCGTTTATAAGCCATTTCTGCCGATGAGGGCGACAGTTGGTAATCTTTTCTCGACGAGCGGATATTTGTATAGACAGCACGCCTTCCTCGATTCCCTGGTCTAGTTGCAGAGGTAATTAAACGAAGTAGCATACTCGGGGAGGTTCAGTGTTTGCAATGGTACAAACCGGTATGAAAACGTCCGCATATTGTATTAACTGTACCAGCAGGACTTCAAAATTGTACTATTTAACCATCTCTTCCAATATAGTTAAACCGGTAATACCATTTATCTAAATGGTATGTGGGTTAGGGTTCTTCGTGGGTGTTTAGAGCCGAATGTTGCTCCGGATTGGTAAAGGTTCTACCGAAGGCAGCGGAAAAACAATACTCCGTATCATTTAGTTAGTTGGTTTATATCAGTTTAGGGTTTATGTTATATCCCAGCGACGAACGCTCTCCATTCAGGAACGCAATCCTATACCGGAGCGTCAGCCAGTAGAGCCACCAGTCAGGAATGCCACACCTACGCCTAACAGCTACGCACTGTTGGCAGATATATAAGCCTCGGTACACCGGTCTCGGGTCATGTATATTATCTCTGAGCCAGACCATCTCCAGACCAGTAGAGGATATTCCATAGAGTTGTTCCTCAAGTACCACTACTTATCTGGGTTCATACATAGTATATTGCAAAGTTCTACTAAACTCCCTCCCAACCTGCTGTATATCTTGCTGATATTTCTGAAGTGACTTGAGAATAAACAAGAAACTGACATTGACACCGACCTTGCAGCTGGAACTGACGTCTAATTACCAGTCTTGTCCGATATAACAGTGCGTTCATGATTGGAGCGCTAAATTGCTGCTCCATTCGTGAATAGGATGTCCGATTCACGACCGTTCCTGAATGGGGAGCGTTCATCGCTGGGACATAACATGTATCATGTCTCAGTAAAACCACCATCGCTTGAAATCAAACTGTACTAACTGTCTCATTATTATTTAGTTTTGTACCGGTTTGTACCGCCAAACTGACGTCTCATTGCAAACACTGGGGAGGTTTGCCTCTGGCGCTGGAAACTAGTGTTGGTTTTCACTACTGCTACGAACCTCCTCGGATGTTCCTAATAGGATACATGGTGTTCCTTTATATTCAGAATAAGCGTTCTTCATCATATCCTCCTCTTCTCTGCTCATCATTCTACCAATAGTGTGGGGTTCTTCTTCTTGCACCTCATAACCAGTAGTAACTAACCTCCGGTTTGTACTTAGGCACGGTAGTTACCGACAGACTGTCTCTCCACTTGAGGAATATATCGTATTCCCGTGCGGTTGAAAATTTATCGTTGAGTTTCCGATAGACGAGGAAGCCGGGGGTGTTGTTAGAAAGCCCATATCTTGAGCTCTCATCATCATATCTGCAGATAGACCTCACAGGATCGAGCTTCCTACTCCTAATTCTTAGATTAAAATAGATTAGTCCTATGTTACTGCAAAATATAAACCCTCATATAGATGCGGGTAGGTGGATAGGGCATCTTTTTACTTGCGCTGCTTATCCTATGCCATTTGTATCAACATAACGGGGACTTTGATTAGGCCTCTGTCGAGTTCTCTGTTGAGTTCGTCACCCCACCCAACAAAATCCGTTATACAGGTTCATTCTGAGCGAGGCACCCGATTCGGCCTTCCTGATGAATCTGGCGCTCCTTTTGGTCGGCAAGAACACGTTCGGAGGTTGGTTGAATATGTTCCCAAATACCAGCATTTCTCATCATATTCTCCTCTTCACTCCTCGTTATTCGACTAATAGTACTGGGTTCTACTTTTTGCACCTCAGATCAAGTAGGTGCTAGTCTCCGGCCTGTACCTGCGCGCGGTGATTAGAAATGGAGACTTCACACTCGCTGAAGGCATTGATCGTTTTCAGCTGCGGTTGGCAATTTGCCGTTAAGTTTCGGATGGACGAAGAAGCCGGAGGTGTAGGTATGCTGGTATGGCCGGAGTGGCTGATCGATGGTACACGAACAGATTGTTGTGCTTGAAGATCAGCTAGCGTGGAACCTACATGTAGGCTCGTCCCCAGCCCCCCTTCTTCCATCCTTCCAAGCCTGGTGCTAGTATGGGATGGGTACGAGACTACGTGGAATGTTATTCCTTGTGAATACATTAGGTGTTCTACTCCGTTTACGAAGTCCAAGTCTGTGACGGCTGATAATCGTAAATTGTACCTTCAACTCCAGTCAAGTATCAGTGTCTGAGATACCTATCAATTCAGCCGTTTTGAAATTATATCATGTTTTGGTGATGCTCAAACGAGTTGCCTAATTCTGTACCCCCTTGAGATTACGGTCAGAACTCTATTGAAACTATCAGGTTTTCCCGGCGGTCGGTCCGACGAAGGCTTTCAGCTTAATCAACGATTCAGACTACCATCCAACTGAATGTGGGCCTTTTGATATGGTCGCCGTACCAACTAGGTTTGATCACCGGCCAGGTCATGTACAATCACTCGGCTAATTGAAATCATTGGTTAACGGAATAAAATACGACTATCTAGAGACTTCCATGTCATTGTTTGTTACCTTCTCCGGCATTCCACGCGCATGTTTCTAGGTTTGCATGTTTGATATCTCGCTGGAATCAACTAGAGCTCGGATGTTTGCTTCTTCGATTCCCGAAGAACCTAAGGGAAGATTCTAGGGCTGTGTTTCCTCGTTTCTGTGAGGTGAGGTGGGAGTGTTTGCTTTTTTGCCAGCTTACTAGAATCATCTAGACTGTTGGAAGATTGCTTGTTTGCTTGTCTGCTACATTCTAGGCGTATGTTTGTCTGTTTGCTAGCTTACTGGAATCATCTAGACTCTCGATGTTTGCTTGTTTGCTACTTTCTAGGGTATTCTAGGCCCATATTTGCGTGTTTCCTATCCCCTAGAATCGTCTTGACCCTCCAATGTTTGCTTCTTTTCTACCTTCTCAAAGATTCTAGCATGTTTGCTCGCCTACTTGAATCTTCTACACTCTTCGTTATTTGCTTGTTTGCTTGTTTGGTACCTTCTCCGTCGTTCTAGGCCTATGTTTTCTTGTTTGCTATCTCACTAGAATCTTCCAGACCGTCGAATGTTTGCCTACTTGCCATTTCTCAGACGTTCTAGGCTTATATTCCTATGTTTGCTACCCCCCCAGAATCTTCCAGAGCCATGTTTGCTGATTCATTCCACCTCTAGAAGCTTCAAAATACATCTCTGACTCTCTACCCTGACCCTGAGCCCTAATTCATAAGAATTCATTTTCGGGATTTCTGGGAGTATATATACAGCCCTTTCCCCCCTCTTCCTCTTCACTTCACTGGTCAACGAGGTTTTCAAACCTAACTACACCTTGCTAGGTGCTTGATCTTCAGCACATTGCGAACTGTTTGAGAGATAAGTGTTCCTATCTAGCTGATATTTAGAACATGATTTGCTAACATTGACCTAGAACTTATCCAGCTCGACCTGCGCCCGACAGGGTAGGCTTTCCATTATTGGCTCGACCGGCACCTCGAAAAGGCAGGCTTTCTTTTGTTACTCACCTATTTCTTAAACCTCCTGCTCGACCGGCGCCTATAAAAAGGCAGGCTTCCTTTTCTCCCCTATTTCCTAGACTTCTAGCTCGACCAGTACCTATCAAAGGCAGGCTTTCCTTCTTTCCTAGAACTATCCTCTTTCCTAAAACTCTCCTCTTGATCTCTCCTTTGAACTCCTCTTCTCCTAGAACTCTACCTCGACCGGCACCTATAAAAAGGCAGGCTTTCTTTATCCCCTATTTCCTAGACTTCCAGCTCGACCGGCACCTATAAAAAGGCAGGCTCTCCTAGAACTATCCTCTTTCCTAGAATTCTCTTTCCTACAACTCCTGCTCGACCGGCGCCTATCCAGAAGCAGGCTTTCCTAGAACACCAGCTCGACAGGCACCTATCAAAGGTAGGCTTTCCTGCTTTCCTAGAACTATCCGATACTCTTTCCTAGAACTCTCTTTCCTGTAACTCCTGCTCGACCGGCGCCTATAAAAAGGCAGTCTTTCCTTTTTTCCTAGAACTCTCCTCTTTCCTAGAACTCTCTTTCTTATAGTTCCAGCTGGACCAGCTCCTATCAAAGGCAGGCCTTCCTTCTTTCCTAGAACTCTCTTTCCTCGAACTACTGCTCAACCGAAGCCTATACAAAGGCAGGCTTTCCTAGAACTCCAGCTCGACCGGCGCCTATAAAAAGGCAGGCTTCCTTTATTCTCCTACTTCCTAGGACTCTCATCCTTTCCTCGAACTCTTTCCTAGAACTCTTCCTCGACCAGGGTCTATAAAAAGACAGGCTTTCGATCTTTACTCTCCTATTTATTATAGATCTCCGGCTCGACCGGCGCCAATAAAAAGGCAGGCTTTACTTTACCCCTATTTCCTAGAGTTCAAGCTCGACCGGCACCTATCAAAGGCAGGCTTCACTTTACTCCCCTATTTCCTAGAACTCTCATTCTTTCCTTGAACCTTTTCCTAGAACCTTTCCTCGACCGGGGTCTATAAAAAGACAGGCTTTCTTGAGACTCCTATTTCCTAGAACTTTGATTCTTTGTTAGAACTCTTTCCTAAAACTCGTCCTCGTCCGGGGTCTATAAAAAGAGAGGCTTTCTTTACTCTCCTAGAACCCTTATTCTTTCCTAGAACTCTCTCCTAGAAGACTTCTTCTACCGATGCCTATAAAAAGACAGGCTTTCTTTACTCTCCTATTTCTTATAGTTCCAGCTCGACCGGCGCCTATAAAAAGGCAGGCTCTCTTTACTCCCCTATTTCCTCGATTTCCAGCTCGACCGGCGCCAATGAAAAGGCAGGCTTTACTTTCTCAACTAATTTCTCTGCTCGACCGGCACCTATCAAAGGTAGGCTTCCTTTATTCTCCTATTCCTTAGAACTCTTATCCTTTTCTAGAACCTTTATCCTTTTCTAGAACACTTTCCTAGAACTCTTCCTCGACCGGGGTGTATAAAAAGACAGGCTTTCTTTACGCTCCTAATTCTTGTACTTCCAGCTCGACCGGCACCTATAAAAGGCAGGCTCTCTTTACTCCCCTATTTCCTAGATTTCCAGCTCGACCGGCGCCTATCAAAGGCAGGCTTCATTTTCTCCACTGATTTCTTAATACATCTGCTCGACCGGCACCCAGAGGAAAGGGTAGGCATTATTTACTGCCCTCTTTTCTAGAACTCTCATGCCTTTCTAGAACTCTAATAGCTTTCTTGAACTGTCCTATTTCCTAGATCTCTCTTTCCTAGTACTCTTGCTCGACCGGCACCCCTAAAAGGTAGGCTTTCCTTACTCTCCTACTTCCTACAGTTCCAGCTCGACCAGCGCCTATCAGAAGGCAGGCTCTCATTACTCCCTTATTTCATAGATCTCCTGCTCGACCAGCATCTATAAAAAGGCAGGCTTTACTTTCTCCACTAATTCCTTGATATATCTGCTCGACCAGCACCTATCAAAGGCAGGCTTTCTTTCCTATCCTCCCCCCCAGAACTCTCATAAACTTCTATAACTCTCATACCCCTCCGGAACTCTCATACATTTCTAGATTTCTCCTATTTCCTAGAACCCTTGCTCGACCGGCACCTCAAAAAGGCAGGCTTTCTTTACAGGCATAGTCATAGAGTTCCAGCTCGACCGGCACCCGGAAAAAGGGCAGGCTTTCTTTACAGGCATAGTCATAGAGTTCCAGCTCGACCGGCACCCGGAAAAAGGGCAGGCGTTCTTTACCACCATATTTCCCAGAAATCTCCTACTTTTCTTGAACTCTCCTATCTCCTAGATTTCCTCTACTCGACCGGTACCTACAAAAAGGCTGGCTTTCTTAACATCTTACTTCCTACAACTCTCCTATTTCCTGGAACACAGCCTGTTCGACCGACGCCTATCAAAAGGCAGGCTTTTCTTCCTCTCCTAGTTCCTGAAACTCTCCAGCTCGACGGCGCCAATAAACTGGTAGGCTTTACTTTCTCAACTTATTTCTTAATAGATCTGCTCGACCGGCACCTTCGAAAGGCAGGCTTCCTGTACTCCACGGATGTTCTCTCTCCTAGAGCTTTCCTTTCCTAGAACTCTCTCCTAAAGGTCCAGCTCGACCAGCACGTTTGAAATGGTACGCTTTCCTTATTCTCCTATTTCCTATTGTTCCAGCTCGACCGGCGCTCAACAAAAGGCAGGCTTTCCTTCCTCATTACCGGAACTCCCGCTCGACCGGCACCTTTAAAAAGGCAGGCTCTACTTATTCTCCTATTTACCAAAACTCCCATTCCTTTCTAGAACTCTCCTAGTTCGTACATCTCCAGCTCGACCGGAACCTTTAAAAAGGCAGGCTCTCTTTACTTTCCAGATCTCCTCTTTTCTAAAGCTCTCCTAGAACCCTCAGCTCGACCAGCACCTATAAAAAGGCAGGCTTTCCCTATTTTCCTATTTTCTAGTACGTTCGTTCTTGTTTAGAACTCTCCTGTTTCCTAGAACTCCAGCTCGACCGGCACCTTTCGAAGGTAGGCTTCCTTTAGTAGCATCTTTCCCAGATCTATTTCTGCTCGACCGGCGCCTATAAAAAAGCGGGCTTTCCTACCCCCGGTATCTACTCTTTCCTATAACTCTTCTCTTTCTTAGAACTCCTCTTTCCTTTAACTTCCTTCTTTCCTGAAACCTTGCTCGACCAACCCCTGAAAAGGTAGGCTTTCTTTATTTTACTAGTTCCTACATCGAACTCCTGCTCGACCGGCACCTACCAAGGGCAGGCTTTCTTTGGCCGCTTCTTCCGGGAACTCCCATATTTCCTATTTCCTAGAAGTCTTAATAATCCTGCTCGACCGGCGCCTATAAAAGGGCAGGCTTCACTTCAGCTTAATTAATATTTCCTAATGGTTCTGCTCGACCGGCACCAACCCAAAAGCAGGCTTCTTTTTTCTCTTTCCTCCTAGAACCCCTCTATTCCCTATTCCCTATTTCCTAGAACTCCTCTATTTCCTACAACGCCTGCTCCACCGGCACCCCAAAAAGGCAGGCTTTACTTACATCCCAAGATCTCATACTCCCTAGAACTATCATATCATATATGTGTATTTCCTACTACTGCAGCTCGACCGGTGCCTGTAAGACGGTAGGCTTCCTTTACTATCCTATTCCCTGGAACTCCCATCCTCTCCAGAACTATAATTTCCTAAAACCTCCGTTCGACTTGCACCTATCAAAACGCAGGCTTTCCTTTTTCCCCGATTTCCCCAGAACTATCTTCTTTCCTAAAACTATCATCTTTCCTCAGATCCTCCTCTTTCTTTGAGCTCTAGCTCGACCGGCACCCTCCTAAGGTAGGCTTTACTTCCTCTCAATTTCCCTTTTCTAATTGCTCTGCTCGACCGGCGCCGATAAAAAGGCAGGCTTTACTTTCTCTTTATATTTCTTAATCAATATTCTCGACCGGCGCCTATCGAAAGGTAGGCTTCCTTTCCTACTATTTCCTAAAACTACTACTCGACCGGTGCCTGTAATAGGGCAGGCTTTCTTACTCTTACCATTCCTAGAACTCCGATATTCCCTATTTCTTTCCTAGAATCCCTGCTCGACCGGCACCTTTAAGAAGGTAGGCTTTATTTTTGCTTTTTTATTTCTTTGTAAATATGCTCGACCGGCACCTAAAAGGCAGGCTTTCTCTACCCCTTATTTCCTAAACGCCCTGCTCGACCGGCGCCAATAAAAGGCAGGCTTTCTTTAAATATCTCATATTTCTTAGAAATCTCGTATCATACTTTCTTAGAATAACTACTCGACCGGTGCCTTTAAAAAGGCAGGCTTCTTTTGCCTTCGCCTTTGAACCCATCGAACACTCCTATTTTCCTAGAACTATCCTTTTATTAGAACTATCCTATTCCCTGGAACTCTCCTCTTTCTTAGAACTCTACCTCAACTGGCACCTCTCAAAATTAAAGGCAGGCTTCAATTTCAGCCCAATATTTCCTATTAATCCTGCTCAACCGGCACCTTACAAAGGTAGGCTTCCTTTCCCTCTAATCTCCTGATATTTGCTCGACCGGCACCCAGACAGAAGAGCGGGCTTTCTTCAGTATGATTCTATATATTCCTAGAGCTCCCATCCTTTTCAAGAAGTACTCTAGTATCTCCTAGTTCTCCGCTGCTCGACCGGCACCTATAAAAAGGCAGGCTTTCTCATTATACCTTTTTCTAGAACTCTCATGTTCGTCAGATCTGATCTCCTAGTTACTAGATCTCCAGCTCGACCAGCGCCTATCGAAAGGCAGGCTTTCCTTAACCTCCTAGTTCCTAAATCTCTAGCTCGACCGGCACCTAATAGGGCAGGCTTCCCCTTCTCTCATTTTTCCTAGAACTCCTACTCGACCGGTGCATATAAAAGTGCAGGCTTTTTATTATCAGTCTCTTATTTCCTAGAACTCCCGCTCCTCCGGCACCCTTCTGAGTACTTGGCCTTCTTCACATCGTTTTTCACCCCGTCATTCCTAAGCTCGACCGGTGCCTATAAAAAGGTAGGCTTTCTTTACACTCCTATTTCCTAGATCTCGACCGGCGCCCATAAAAGGGCAGGCTTTTTTTTCGATCTCCTAATCCCTGATTTCCTCATATAACAGCCCGACCGGCACCTTTCAAGGGTAGGCTTCCTTTCCTCTGCCTTTTCCTACAACAATGTTTTTCACTAGCTAGAGGTCATATACTCCCTGGAACTCCTACAGTTAAATATCATTCATGAACGCCGGCGTTCACGAGTGTTCGAGAACTGACCAGGTTATTGACGAGCACCCTATCATACCGGAGTTTTGGCGGAAGGCCCATGTGTATGTGGAAAGACCATGTATACGTGGAATGCCCAGGTGTTCGTGAAAGGTCCAGGTCTTCGTTTGAGACTCAGGTGTCCGCGGAAGGTTCAGGTGTTCATGGAAGGCGGCCTAGGTGTTCGTGGAAAGTTTAGGTGTTCGTGAAAAGTTTAGGTGTTCGTGGAAGGAGGTGTTTGTGGATGTCCTAGTGTGTTCGTGGAAGGTTCAGGCGCTCGTGAAAGCCTCAGGTGTCCTTGGATGAACCGGCATCCATCAAGGCCCTAGGTCTTCATGAGAGGGCTATTTTTTCGTGGTTCGCCTAGGTGTTCGCTTCCTAAATGAGCTAGAACAGGCAAACCATGAACACATAGCTATTACGGCTCAACCACGAAGTCGGTTCAGTGACGAAGTTTCGCCACTGGGCCAGTTCATTCACGAAGTTTCGTGACTGGACCGCAATCTTCTTGACCGAACTAACAATGTAGACTCTCCATCCAGTCACGAAGGACTGATCTAAACCCTAGTCCAGTCGCGAAGTACAATGTAGAGCTGCTCTAGTGATATAACTAGTGCTGAAATTGAGTGCAAGCGCTAGTACATCTCTGTAAGCGTCACAGAATCCTGTTGTAATTTTCTCCCGCGCACTTTATTTTTCTCCCGCGCATTTTTTTTAAGTGACTGTACCATTGCTGGATGGGGCCCCAGTCGTCAACAAGTTGCACCTGGGCTCGCCCCAGGATAGCTGTGCTCGCACCACCATAGCTGTCCGTGCCCAGGGGTTCTAGGGTTTTGAGGCGGTCAGTTCAGTCAGGAAACTTCGTGACTGAACTGGCATACAGCAGGCCCAGTTTAGTGACGAAGAATATAGTCCAGTCATGAAACCTCGTGAATGAACTGGCCCAGTGGCGAAACGTCGTCACTGAACCGACTTCGTGACAGGGCCGTAACATAGCCCCTCACGAACACTCAGGATTATTCCTCACAAGAGCACCTGGTCCTCCCACGAACATCTAGCCTACTTCTCACAAGCATCTGAGTCTCCCACAAGCCTATATCTGCTTCCCAAGAACGCTCACATCTGTCATGAGGAACTGGCTTTCCATGAACACCTGAGCTTAGAGGAAAATCTCCCACTTCGGTATATAATGGTGTTCGTCGATAAGTAACCTACATGTCTAATCATTCCAAGATTGTCCGTGAGATGCCAGTGTTCGTGAATGAATGTTAAAATTGTGTTGTTCTGGATTTTAGGTGTTCCAGTTCCCTAACCCATCTCATGTTTTATTGTAGAGCACGTCTATCGAAAAATGTGTCATTTTAGACCTTTTCCGTTAAAAAGAATAAAAAGCTTTGTGACGAGTTCCTGGACGAAGCTCCTTTTAGTCGATTAAGTAGAATCAGTACCAGCACAACATAACGCATTGTCAAGTAATCTGGCGCGTTTTTTCCTGTTGGGCATCCAAGACTTCTTTTCTTTATATTCATCTTCCATGCTGGACCACGCTCAGCTCCAGTTTTACCATGTATCATAGATGTGTCCCACGTGTCTTGTCCTTTTATCCCTTTTACGGTCAGGCCACATCACAACTCCAACTACACAACATGCCTACTGCAGGCTGACCTAGTGCCATATCCCAACCCCACACATACAATTATGTTGCCGTCCTGACCTCGTTTCTAACTTTATATCACGCCGAACCAAACCAGTGAAACCCAAATCTAACCGCTTCTCTAATTAATGTTCATATCTCTTTGACATTCCGAAGGTAGAAAGGTAGAAGTGTCCTGAGTCCTCCGCCTAGCCTTCTCCGCATTCTACTAAACAGCCTAAGATAAGCGGTGTGAACTTACACTATATATACTAGTCCTCTCTAGGACCCAACGTCTCGCCGAATAACACTGGGGGCGAAACCGTTCTTCCATCAGGGATTCTACAGCACTCGGATACTCTCCCGATACCAAGAATATTGTCGAGGCTGTCCCGAGTTCATTGCCTAGAAGATTTAAACGATTCCAAAGACTCTATAGTACCCAAGTTTCTCCTCCGAGGACGGCTCAAAGATCCCCTGGACCTGAACACTGCCCCGGAGGACGTACCCGGAGGTTTGGGATAAGGCTACAATGAGGACACGGGGGAAGCGTAAAGCACGCATTGATGTAACTCCACCCCCCTTGATCATGAGCGGGTGGCCTGAAGTGGCTTTGGGGCTGAATTTCATATCTCAATGTCAGTGGATAGTTCAACTACTCTTCTTCTTAATAGAAAACTCTCGCGGTCGCATCCAATTGATGAATTAAACAAAAAAAAAAAAAAAACTCTCGCGGTCGCCAATCACAGATTATCACTCGATAGAATCCCAACTCCTGCCGGTGGAAATATGGGCGAATAATCCTCTGAAGCACAACTCAACGTCCGAAAACATCTTTAAGGCTACTCCTCTATGCTAATCCTTAAACAAAAAAATCAACAATTTAAAATTTACCAATACATCCTACTACAAACTACCACCTCTACACCGACTTCCATTTCCTAATTCCACCACCCATCTACCACACCTTCATTTCGCACTCCCAGCCTCCCTCCTACTCCTCTCCCGCCTCTTCTCCCTCATCAATCTCGCGGCAAAACTCGTCACCGTCGCATCCGCCTGCGCAGCAGTACACGCATCCTTCTGCGCCGTACAATCCGCCACGGCAGCTCCATCACCGCTGTTAGCACCATTGGCACATGCGTTGAACTGGCGATCACAAGAGCGTGCTGCCGCAGCGGCAAAATTTACAAATGTTGACCCAGCAACATCGAATGGGCGGTCGGCATCGCCGGAGAAGGTTATGGGGTCTGCGGCGGCGCCGATGGCGGACGTGAAGGTTTGGAGATTGGTAGACGTATCAGCGCCAGTAGCGGCGGTGGCATCGTTGGCTGCATTATTATTGCCATTGTTCGCGTTGTTCCCATTATTGTTGTTGGCATTGTTTCCGTTATTGTTGTTGGCGTTGTTTCCGTTATTGTTGTTGGCGTTGTTTCCGTTATTGTTGGCATTTCCGTTACCGTTATTTGCGCCAGTGTCGGCAGCGTTATCAGTCGCAGCAGCAGCATCACCTGCACCCGTCGCAGCACCCGCGTTATTGCCATTGTTGGCGTTGTTCCCATTATTGTTATTGGCATTATTTCCATTGCCAGTATTTGCGGTATTGTCGGCGGCGTTATCATTTCCGTTCCCCGTCGCATTATCACCAGCAGCAGCATCACCTGCACCCGTCGCAGCACCCGCGTTATTGCCATTGTTGGCGTTGTTCCCATTATTGTTATTGGCATTATTTCCATTGCCAGTATTTGCGGTATTGTCGGCGGCGTTATCATTTCCGTTCCCGGTATTATCGTTCGCGTTATTGGCAGCGTTGCCATTGCCATTCCCCGCATTATTATTCGCATTACCGCCAGTAGCAGCATCACCCGCACCCGTCGCAGCACCCGCAGCAGCACCCCCGCCTCCCACCGCAGCCGCCGTGCCATCCGCCGCCTGCGCGGTGAAATCAGTGATGCTCCCCTGCGCCTGTACGATGTCCGCAATACTCAACCCCGCCGCATCAACGGGTGAATTCAGGCTTGCCGCACTCGCAGCATTCTGGGCTGCCGCACCGTCAAGATCTGGATCTACTAGTGGCTATTCCCCCGTTAGTCGGTGATAACGGGAAGTGGTGGAGTAGGGAGAGACTAACCAGAATACCCCTCAGCGCCTCCGTCGCCGGTAGACTTGGATCGCTACAGAAACTTGGGATGGTGACGGCGAATGGGTTGAAGTTCTTCTCCGCCTGTACAAGTGCTTTTGCGGCATCGAGGGCGCCAGCACCGTCGAGGGCTGCGACTTGATCCGCGAGTGACAGCTGAAGAATATATTGTTAGACTTGAGGACGATACAGCAAGGGAGTGATGTGGGTACCTTAGCGCAGGCGTTCGCACCAGCGAGGAGGGTACCGATGGACTGGCCGGCGAGTGTTGCTGCGCCACCGTTGTTGCCTCCGATGGCGGATATGATGTTCTGGACGGAATTTTCCTGGCCGAAGCTGTTGTTGTGTGTTAGTCATGTGCCATGTCAAGGGCAGGGGAAATTAAGGCTTACCGGGCGTGGGTGACAGCCAAGAAGCTCACGAACAGAAAAAGTGACTTGGTGAACATCTTGCAGGCGGAAATATGTTGGATAATATAATGGTCAAAGTAAAAAATAAATAAAAGAAGGTATGTTATCAAAAAGAAACCGGCCGGCGGTAGAATGGAAGAAAGAATGAATCAAAGAAAGAAGAAATGCTGGAATGAAGAGAGCTAACTCGATGCCTCGTGAGAATACTGACAGGAAGATTGAAAAGTTTATAGGAACGGGAGCGCGAGGCCGCTATATATCGCTCCTCGCCCAGACCCCCGCATAGACGCCCAGCCGCCCAGGTGTATCGGGGAGTTTTAACTCTAACTTGAGCAACCTTCTTTCTTGGGTCGGTCGTCATAGTTCTACAACATTATGCACATCAAAAGAATATTCTGTAGCTATAGAGATCATAGCGCAAATCCCCTCCTCCGTTTAGCAAGGATTGTTCACAATGACAGGGTCAATGACAGGGATACCGAAAATCTCCGAACAGACAGCCCACCCCTGACCTGGCGCATTGAGGCTATTATCCATGTCAAGCGAGACGCAACTCTAAAACTAGCGACAAAACCTGACATGTCTCGCGCAGGGGGTGTAAAACCTTCGGTGTGTTTTGTGGCGTATCTAGGGCGGTTGTTCACAGATATAGTACAGAGCTCGAGGAGGGAAATCACAAGAAGATGCAGTAGTGAGCTCGTTATAGCACGCTACTGACAGCGCGTAACTGAAGTAGTATCATCACTAGTAAATATGACTAACACCTCCTTCTGGACGGGGTTTACTGATTTCGCGAAAACGGAATTTTCTCTCACGCGGTCTGCTTCAGATCGCAACTCTTCAAACGAACGTTTAGCTGGTGAAGGATCCGCTCCCCGAAATCGCTATTATTGGTTTATTCTTAGGGAGCGACCAAGAACAAGTACGGTCAGGATGGCCTTACTCAAAAGGTGCTGCGGTATATCTACGCATGATGGTTTAATCCTGATTCACGATACCCCACTCTCCATCTACCCACCCCGTTCAGCAAAAGCACGCACCTAGACTTCTAGATACCTAGACTATGAAGACATGATAGGGCTTGTTCTTCAGCATTCTTACTTCACCTAGTCGGGGACATTCCATTTCATATTTTATTCCCGAGCACTTGAGCTTCGAAATCGAGTGATAATCTATGATTACAAGAAAGATAATTCACGTTTTACCGGTTACAGGTCTCCTAGAATGAAGATCCCCGCACCAAAAGATGCACCAAAAGATGCACCGTCTATATAGGGTAAGTACTTCTGATGTTACAGGAGCGACGTTCAAACCGGGTCAGCACTTGGCAGGGGTCAGGAGCCAAAGCTGTTTGACGTGCCAGGGAATAGATTGCGATATTTCCTATCCTGTTAGTCTTGAGCCGCTCCAAATTCACCTATTCATCTAGGGCTTATGTTGTATTTCCGTATTCTGATAGTTATACTCATGATCATGTAGGCTGCGCTGGCGGGAGTGGCTAGAAAGCGCAAAAGCTTGAAGTGACAGAAGAGGTGTAATCATGTCAACTTTAAGCAGGTGAAGTGAGTGATTACCGCTATCGCAGGATTCCCTCTTTTGTAGTCTGGCGTGAGCATGAATTCATAACCTCATCCGAAGGTCGAAATAGGTTAAGATGAGATAAGATATGATTGAGATAAGACTAGATTGAGATAAAATAATAGCACTCTGCCTCAAAATATATACCCTGAGCATCTTCATCAATCTTTGGTAGTATAGTGGTTAGTATACTCGCTTGTCATCAGACTAAACGCGAGTGACCGGGGTTCAATTCCCCGCCAGAGAGTTATCATTTTTATTTTTTCCCATACTAATATTGGAAGGAGGTCGGTTGCTGCCGGACCTTTTTTCGTATTTTTATTTCCCATATTATTTTTCACGTACACACATTCCTAGAATTCAATAATTAAAATCTATTCACCTCTAGCGCATCCGAAAAAGAACGCTGGGGATATGCGATTTCGGACATACCCAATGTTCCCATTATCCTCAGTACCCCACAGAACTGTGCTGAAAGACACCTCTCAATATGATCCCCTCCCACTCTACCACGTCTGATCTCTTCCATATCATCTCGAAACCCCACATAACGTCCAAGTTCCAAATCCCCATCAATTACTTAATTACATTAATATTACCCCACTAGCTAGGTTCTATCTTGCACCCCCGATATATCCAACCTCTGAAAACTAAACAACCTTCGTAAGCTTGCCCGTCTTCGGATCATATATCCACCCCGTTGTGTTCCCCCGGACCACCTCTGGGATCAGTTTGTGCGTCTTGAGGAATTCGACGTCGTCTCTGACGGCTTGTTCTATGCTGTGATATTCCGGAAGTTGTTAGTCATTGGAGAAAAGGAACTCAGGAGATGGGGAAAGGAACGGTTTGGGGGGTATTGGGGATTGTACTTTTCAATGGCTCCAAAATCCTCGCCATCGGCGTCGACGCCGAGGTTCTTCTTGATGGTGCCGTGCAGGGTGGGATTGTCGAATGTGGTCATTCCGCAGTCTGGTGTTACCATGAGGTTAGTTTCTGTATATCTATTCGTTTAGATTTCCTAGATCTCTTTGTTTAACGGAGCAGGCCACTAGCTACGAAGCAACAAAATTCCCAGGGTCATCCGAGAAGAATTAAACATACCAGTATGCTTAATGATCAATATCGCCTTTGTCCCGAACAGCTGCTGCGACACAACCAGACTCCTCAGAGCCTCCCGGGCGCTGCCGCCGCCGTTGCGGATGAGGTGCGCGTCGCCGAGCTTGAAGCCGAGTGCTGATGCGGGCATGATATTGGTGTCCATGCATGTTACTACCCAAGGCAAGGGTTAGCTTTCTTTTCCAGATTATTATGGCAACGGCAATGAATATACGAACCGACGGCGACCTCCTTCACCGGCGGAAGCAGTAGGTTTTCATCTGAAGCGCTGAACTTGGAGACATATCCCTCGTTTGCGGCCACAATGCTGGACTCGAGGTTGAGCGTCATGTTGGGAGTTGCACTGTGGAAGTGGGCTCTTAAAGTTGATAATAAGCTTGGAGTTTTTCGGGGAAGTATTCTGGTAATGAGGGTCATTTTTAGATATCAGAAAGAGTTATAGGCGTTTATATTCCCAAATCTAGCCGCGGACAAAGGTGCTGAGCATCAATCACGTCATTCCGCGGAGGTGTCACCGAGTTTAGGAAAATGACGGAAGCGGCGGGCGGGCACCGGCGGGGCACCCGCGAAGTTTATCGCGGCGACTTCTGAGATGGTGTAAGTTGGCGGGCTTAAGCTTGGGGCTTTGGAAGCTTTGGCGACTGTTGAGGTGTTTTGTTTCTTTGTCGGGGCAGCTTCATCAGGAGATCCAAATACCACCAAATATCAATCTCAGCCTCAAAGAACTTGGAATTCAAAACCGCATCGTTAAATCATTGCAAGATCTTGATTATCTATCATGCAGCCGGCGAAGCTTCTCGAGGACATATCCGAGTCTAAACCCGATCCTCGATCAGCGATGTCCGAAAACTCAAATTCCTTATCTTCATACATATGAGGCGCGTCTCTGCTCCTGGACAAAGGATATCTAAAATCCCGCGATATGTTGAAGGTTGTGATCAATGAGATTCATGTCTTGGTTGTCACACCTGAAGGCTGAAGCTACAGCTGGAGAGGCTTTGCCAAGCATTCTGGGAACTTGGCGAGGGAGGAGCGGGTTAACTGAGTCGTCACTCAGTAAGGTGATTTTGACCATGTTTTTGATCCAGTGAGAAATTCTTGTGAGCTTTTATTTTATCGGTTTTTATCGGGGTTTCATTCTGTTGATTCAGTCTATGGAGTTTTCCGTTGTTACACAAATGAACTCAGCACCAGAACCTATCATTACCGCCCCTTCTATCATTACCGGCATAGCTATCTACCAATCTATTATGATCCCTTGTTCTAAACCTCATCTCCAACTTCATCGTCATAATTCACCACCCACAAGCACCTATTCGTGCGATATCCAAGCTTATGATACATCTCCAGCGCGCTCCAATTCTCACAAAACACCGTCAACCAGCATTCCGTCCCTCCCTCCTTCGCATGCAGCTCATGCACATGCCTCATCAACGCCCTCGCCAGCCCCTTCCTACGATAATCCGGAAACGTTTCCAGACTACTCACATACAACCTCTTCCCCCCCTGCGCCACCAGCACACTCACAAAGGCCGCCTTCCTCAGCGTCTCCACTTCCACAACCGTCCACACCCGCTCCCCGCCACAGCTCACAATACTCTTCTCCTCCGGCTTAAACGTGGCAAACCACTCCGGATCCTCCTCAATCCGAAAACCGTCCTTCTCTAGCGCCAGCCCGGCCACCGTCCACGGTGCCGGAAGGTAAGCGAGCCCGGGGATGGCCTTCGGTAGCTGCAGCCTCATCTCGTGGAGCAGGTCGACGCTCACGTTGACGGACTTCCGATCGATCGCAGAGCTATGCGCCCACAGGAGGATGGACTTGTCGAACGACGATATCGTGAGATGGCACTCTCCCGGGATGTTACCGAGGAACTCACGCATCGCATTGAAGTAGACGCTGCGGATGGAGTCTGAGTTATTGATGAGGAGCCATGACCTGCGCGGGGTTCGGATCTCGTCGGGCGCGTCATTGAACAGCGTGAAGAAGGTGCTGTCAGTAGTGCGGTGTGTGATTGTCTCCTCTGGGAGCAGCGTGCGGTGGTGGTGGATCGGCGCCGAGTGGCAGTAGTGGTGCGATATTAGGTCGGCGGCCATTGTAGGTGGGGATGATGAATTGGGACACTTTGGGCTTGGATCGTGGGTTTTTGAAAACTGTCTAGCTGGCCTGTGTTGTTCCGGGCGGATAAATTGCTGGGATGCTGCAGCTCACGTGATGGTGGGATGTGGGTTTTATTGGAGGAGTTCTCTGCATGCATATGGGGCGGAAACAGGTTCACGATATCTTGAGCGGGCTACGAAATCATTGACACTTTTAGGTTACACGTTGGAGTATCCAGGGTTGTGGTCTTTTGCTTCGCTACCGCCGAAAATGACGAACCAGAAGGTCTCCACTACCAAAGCGGCAGTTCACCATCCGGGCGAGCTGGCGGGTGCTGGTTAATACTAACTCTTTAGGCCGGAATCGATCCTTCCCATCGAAAATTTTCTCAGGTTAGGGCATGCATTATCACTCCTTCCCCGAATTATAGTTTGCTTCGTTCTCGGTCTCTCGATCACACCGCATCACCCGCAACCCATGTACTCACGGGCTGTATTGCTCTTTGTGGAATTGTATCATCGTCCGCTAATGATCTATTGATACAGGTCCATAGTAACAGCCTTTTATACTTCGGGGTCGGCCAATTTCCTACCCAGTCCTTTCCTATCCGCCCTGTCCTGTCCACCCAGTCCTGTCCTGTCTGCCCAGTCCTGTCCTGTCTGCCCAGTCCTGTCCGTCCCGCACAGCAATATGGCTCGGCGCCGAGTCGCCCAGCTCCATTGAGATCTCAACACTCTTAGGTCATGCAAGAGCAAATCTCACTAAGTAAACCAAGACGACAATGTACAGCCGGGCCGGGGGGACAACCGTACACGGCCTGATAGCGACTGCCAGAGAGTAGAAGGACACAAAATTCTACCCCACCGGCGCGGCGGGCAGCGCACGCATGCATATACAGAATCCACCACTAAAGTAACTCTCCAGATCAACGAAAACCGGTAATTGGTGTCCCCCAGTTAAAACTCCTATATATAACATGTAGCTAGCAATTGAACCATACTCTCAATAAAATAAAATCGGGGATCTCCCGAGAAACACTATATGATTAAGAGTGCTCCCATGATTCCTTCCTTGATAACATCACGAAATCACAATGAGATACTTTGTCCGTGTTTATAGTAGATGTAATTATTCTACGAACAGAGAGCATATGTAGCTAGTAGACCCTTTAGTAACCTCAATCCAAAGCGCCTCTTATATACGATACGTCAATGCCAAAATGCAGCGCAGGATCAGTAGAGTAGATATCAATCGATTTCTCGATACCCAAAGCTTTACTACCGCCTCAATCCCCTGCTATTAGACAGAAGCACCAAGATCTCCCTGGGACCCTCGAAAAAACCCATCGGTGATTGTAACAAAAGGACATTCAGGCCACACCCAGAGGCAGCAGCACGGATATTCAACACTCTCTGGCGGGGAATTGAACCCCGGTCACTCGCGTTTCGTCAGATGACAAGCGAGTATACTAACCACTATACTACCAAAGATTGCTTCCTTGCTGTTCTTATGGCTTTAAATTTCTCGCTGTGTCCGATATGGTTAAGGCTGAGTCGGGGGTGCAGGGGTTCGTACTGGGATGGACGGCTTTAGCGCTGCAGATCATTGGCTTAGTGGAGAAACATCCTTTATCACTCGAGCTAACAACTGCAGGGGGAGGGCTTGGCTCAGTCTCGAGGGGTTCACTCTGTAAATGTGAACCCTTGGTCAGCATCCGTAGGAGGGACTACAATATCTGGTGGATTATTCCGAAAGTGGGTTTTCCATGTCCTGATGGTCTTATTGGCCCTTGAAAGATTTTTGCACAGAGCAAAAGATTCACTCTTTACCTCCCGCTTTCACCGTAATTCTACCGGAAACTGTAGTAATGCCTGGGAACCTATATAAAATACAGTTCCTCATATACCACACCAGAGAAATGCGATTGGGCGTAGCTTAGGAGCTAAGCGGTAATTAACCCTGTCATCTTCACCAAGACGGGGCCTTTCGTTCGTGGCCTTTCGTTCGGGCAAGGAAAAAAGACCGCCGGATATAACTTTATCAACCTTTACCGCTCCGTGTTACACTACGTCGATTGTGACCATTTTTTATTTTATTGGCCGAGTAAATTCAAGCCTTTCTACACTGCTTGGCCGGAAGCTTCCCATTGCTTGTATTTCATAACGCAAAAACCCCTGCGAAACCGAAAACCTGGGTCGTCCAGCTAGTACGGTAGCTGGTGTAACATGACTAGCACTTCACTCACTCCTGGCCGGTAGAACTATTCAATGAAGATAATTAGTAGTTCTCGTTTCCCTCGTGATCAAGTAAAGTTAAGATTTTACTGGAATAACGATATCCTTACAGACTTACCTCAGGAAAACAACTTAAACCGAGCGCAAGAAAACTCATATCAAATCATTGAAGATTCTGGAAGCCTGGCCGGTCGATTGTCTGAAATAATGATAGGACTGGACCTTTTCTGCAGGAACAAAGCGTAAAGTTAGAAAAGATTATGCCCTGGTTGCAAGTATTTATACTAGTGGGATGTGTCCTAATCTAAATATAAAACTTTACTCCATACGTAACATTTCCATCATCATCACAATCACAGTCACCCCCACAACCATCGCAATGGCTTTTTACCCCGCCAAAGCCTCGAAATCTCTTGAAATCTCTTGAAATCTCTTCACTCTTTATCTCCTCCTCAAAAATTTTCGATAGCAAAACTTTAAAGATGACACGCCTCCGGAAGGGTACCTCCTACACAGATATCGAGGATATCGAGAATACCGCCGTTGTCCGTATACTTATTACTTGCCTGACCAGAGTATTAGCTGACCTCTTTGTAGCTACTGGAAGACAGAGTTTTGGTATTGTGGTTTGATTTGCGTAAGTTGAGTTGCGAACTTGGTCCGAGTCGATACGTGGCTTATATCTAAACAAACGATACTGTTAATAGCAAAATGGCAACAGTAAGTGCTTCCAACTTCCCCGAGAGCTTTCGAATGAGTTCAATTCCAAATCGTATATAATGCGGAAATATTCCGCGTCCTCTGGGGAGATTCAACGGACGGTTCCCAATTTTCACTGGGAATTGAGGCCATTATTTCCAGGTTTTCTAATATACAGGATGAAATGGGGCATATTCCGCCAAAATTAACAACAGGACGTGATGCCTGTTGCCGAATCGAAAATTGGCTAGGTTCTGACGAAAAGCTTTAGAAATAATGAGTTTATCCAATCTGGCTATCGGTATAGAAGTTCCATCCCCGACTTTCTTCCATAGCATAGATGCTGAACCTACATCTTTTCCAGACAACCCTCTTATTGTCTCCGGAAATGCTTGAGCTCCCTTCTCTACCTTCACAACGAAACCGGTACTGTCCCCCTTCCCCCTTTACCGTGGATCATAAGCTCACCAAAGACACGTCCAGTCAACATCTACACGCATCTTCTCGGCTCTCTCATCTTCTTCGCCCTGCCCTGGTACCTCTACACCCCCCGCGCCACTCTCGGCGACATCATAGTCTTCAGCATCTACTTCCTCGGCGTCGGCCTCTGCTTCTTCTTCTCCGCCATGTATGTACTCTCCTCTTCCCCTGCCCCGTTATGCTAACAACCACCAGGTACCACACAATCTCCAACCACAGCCCCCGATACCTCACCATCGGCCTGCAGCTCGATATAATCGGTATCACACTACTCATGTGGGGGGCGTCCATCCCGACCATCTACTATGCCTTCCCCACCCTCCAAAACACCCGCATCTTCTACTGGGCCGTTTCTACCGTGATGAGCGCCGTCTGTATCGGCTTCACCACAAAGCCCGTAAACCGGGCTCCTGCAATGAGGCCCGTTAGAGCCGCCATGTTTACGTTACTGGGACTGAGCGCGGTAATGCCGGTGGTGCATAGCTGTTGGTGGAAGTCTGCGGAGGGCAGGTGCGAGGTTGTGCCGTTGAGTGGTGTAGCAGGGTTGAATCTGGTTGGGGCATTGGCGTATGCGACTAGAGTAAGCCATTTTTCTGATAGATTCTGAGAGGCATGGTCGTGAGAAGCTAATATAATGGGCGACATACAGTTCCCGGAGAGATGGTTTAAGGTGAGGTTTGATATTTGGGGCGCGAGCCATCAGGTTCTGCATGTGGCGGTTGTGCTGGCGGGGTTGGCGCATCTGAGAGGCCTCATTGCTGCGTTTGAGCATGCTCGGGGCATTAGCGTTCCAGATATGGCTGTAGCTGCGCTTGCTTCGGCTCTCGACTCAGATATGGCTGCATCTGCACTGTCTCTCGAGTAAGTTATGCGCTATCGAGCTTCTCGAAAGCATGAAAAATACGAGGCTGCATATTTCGTACATAGACCCAATCTCTCAAGGCCCAATAGTAACGCAATCCTATATGCAACTACGATATATTGCTGGAGAAAAATGTCTCTTTTGAATTGTCCTTTTTCTTTTCCTGTCAACGGGTGAAACGACTCTATATTTAGTCATATGAGTACAGAAAACAACTCCAAGCATCTGAGGTGTACTTCGACGGTCCTTCACGATATTTATCGAGTGTTTATAGCGTTCAAACATAACTTTAGAGTTAACCGTCTATACTTTCCCAAACCTCGCATAGCACATGGCCGAGGAAAAGCTGTTAATTTATACAGAGGGCCATTATAAAATCATTACTAGATTATAAGACCAGGGTATATATTAGTTGATTCGATATTATTCCTCATTGCCACATCTACAACGTATTCCCCATGCCATATGCTCTGAAATAGATATAGCCCCACTTGCAGGCTTTGTAGATGAATACACAACTCTCGACAACCAACTAAAAGACTTCCGCCCAACTATTCTTTCGTCCACGAAACAGGGGGGAAAAAGGCCCTACTATGTAGTAGCCTTCGACACACGACAGAATCGACCCAGCGTAGTCCCCGTTCCCTCACATTTCTTTCCCTTTTTCTTTGTTTTGGGAAAGAGCCGACACATAGCGGTACCGGTCAAGAGCAATCTACAACGGACATGTGAGCAACCAACACCAAATATCAAGTGTCGCTTCGGCGCTTACTGATCCACTTCCAATAATAAGAATTCCGAGGAGAATCGTCCATTGCCAATTAACTAGAACTATTTGGGCTTCGATTCTTCTCATTTGATTTTTTAAATCGCCCATTTCACCTTTTATACCGACAATATCCTAGAAGGCACCGTCAATAAGCCTGGGATTCCTTACCAGGGTTTCCCTTTACATTCATTCCATACCTTCGACACTTGGATAAGATTATCCTCCAGGCGGAATACGCGAGATTCGAGCGCGGCATGCATCCGTCTTCGTCCGGATTCTTCTTCTTTACTACCGGGCACCTCATCCTGTCCAGAAACGAAAAGACTGCGATGTTGAATAAAGCCACGGGGGTAAATCCTTGGCTGGATCCTAGTTGAACGAACGGCCCCTTGTGTAACAAATCGACGAAACATCTTGTGTTGAGAAAATGTTGTAGCAACAATTTTGTCGATGACAGCAGAGGAACATGGGCTGAGGAGGATCGTGGTGTTGAGAAATACGTGACCCCCCAAACTGTGTCCTACACCTAACCCACGGTGAGCGAGCGAGGGCTTACGTCACAACCAGCTTCGCTTTCCTTCTCTCTCTCTCTCACATCATCCTTTGGTTAGGATTAGTTACATGTAGCAATAGAGCTTTATCATTTCGTGTTATCAAGCTGTTCCCATTTCCTACGAAAAATACACTCGCTAATTAGTTAAAGGCTAAGGAAATAATCATTTAACATCGTAATATAGTCATACATATTATAGCGACATAAAGCTCGGTGAACAAAAAGTCGAAGAATGTCCTGCACCTCTTATTCGCTGCATCCTTGCAAGTCTTGGTACCAGACTCTCGCCCAACCTGTCCGACTTTCCGTTCAACACCCAAAACTCTCTAATCAAAAGAGCCGAGTGAGAGCGCATGAATGCGGTTGTCCCGAAGCGCCCCCCACCCAGGGTCCGTCCTAGAAAAAGAGAAGAAAAAGCAAAAGAGTTCGGTACCCAGGATTCCCACATGGTCACCCACTGCAGTACTAACTAGGCGATACGATGTTTGGGTATGGCAGAGCGGACGGGATGCCCCACTTCCATCGTTCTATGACCGAACACAACAGGATCAATGATCATGAGTACTTATTCACCAATCCGTTCGTATTAATTCAAGACGATGACTTCTTGGCATCTTATCCGAAAATGGACTATTACGAGGACTTAACCGAAGTAAAAACGCTTATTTGATGTGGAGTCTTATCCCTTAGGCGGTCAGGCCAAATCGCAACGTGTTACCGAACCTGATATGGCTAATGTGCTCAGTTGAACGCAGGAACTGTTCATTCTCTCACTGTCTCTAGTAGAACAGGTGGAGCTCTCTAGCGTATGGTAATAACATTAACTATATCAAGTTCGGTAACACATTGCAATTCTGCCTGACCGCCTAAGGGATACAGGCCTTAGCAACCAGATTTAAAGTCTTATATGTGGGAAATGTCTATAACATCGTATTCCGAATAATGGTTTATCAACTTTAAATTTGGATGGAGATGTGTCTTGGCGGTACATAGCATACGCAGGGGATCTTTCAATTGACCTCCCCAGATAATACAAACATGTCAATAATAATAGGAGACTGTTTAGCTGACGGTAAGTAGCGATCATGGAATTACAGGACTTCCGGTGTCAATATTTGTGGTGCATTGATGTTTCGTGACACAGCTTGGACGATCTGGCAATGCAATTAAGGTCGTACCAATTCGCTACTTATGTACCGCATTCTACAGCCTCTTAAGATGTGGTAATATTTCGCATCAATTGTAGATATTTATAAACACCGAAATCACCTCCCCTTCCCCTTTGGATGTGCATATTCACAGATCCGGTTGAATTTCTTCACATCGGGGACGCTTGTTTATAAAGAATTTACTAATATACTTTTAACTGGTGACCAACCAGATGAAGGGTTTTTCTTCGGGGCCGGCCGCAATCATGGGCATGGGCATAGATGGATCTGCGTCTAAATGGTTAACATATTGCATAGTAAGGTTATTTAGAGACCTGGAGTTCTTGATCAGGACAGTCGCGGCCGGTCACACAAGAGAATTATTAGACCTTTTAAGCCGCCGTTGCAACAAAAAAAAAAAAAAAGGAAAGATCATCCTCCACTAACCAGCATAGATGAGCTTGGTGTAATCAGGTAGACGCAGTTAATAGCTCATGTGCTCTCACGGTTGCACTTTTGATCGATACAATTAAAGTACAGTGGCCTCTGTGAGCAGCGTTGAAAATATCATAGCTACTACCTCTGGCTAGTAGCTATAGACGCTGATCTTGTTTTTTTGCCGATCTTTTGTTTCTATTGGCTTCGTTACCAGTGCACTGCTCTTGACGTATTCTACGTAGGAGCTATGTCACTCATATTCCTGGGACCCCCAGATCAACACCACGCCCACGGAGATATGTCGTAGCACACAGCGACATATATAGAAGCATGCAAGTACAACTACACCCTACTTGACTTACTCCCAAATAACCTCCTACCCATTATCAACACCAGTTACCACCACCCCACAGAAAACCCCACCATGTCCCACATCGCCCCCGTCGCTGGCACCGCCATCATAACCAAAGGCGACAAGCTCGCCGTCAAAAACTACCTCACCGTCCGCAACGGCCACATCGTCCTCTCCCTCACCGCTCACGGCTCCGGCTGGAACATCCGCCCCACCGGCCCCGACGGCGACCAGTTCACCATGGTGTTTGCCGACGGCGAGGGCGACGAGGAGCTGGCCATGACGCTCTCGGATACGCCGGATGATTCGGGCGTTCTTAACGCGCTTGCGAAGCCGTTGATGTCCCCACCGCCGCCGGAGCAGCTGTGGACGTTGGAGGAGGCGATTATGGAGCCGAGGTACGTGAGGGAGAGTTCTGGTGATATCGATCATTGACGCTGACGTGGGACTGTACTGTAGGAAGCCGCCGACGATTCATGGCAGGATTCAGAGCGTGGCGAGGAAAGATCTGTCGGTGGGGATTGGCGGCGAGGTGGACTTGCCGCCGAGGGATTTGCCAGTTTCGGGGATGCCAAATGGGATTCAGCAGGATTTGAAGTGGATCTTGGAGTATTAGTCTTAGAGATCTATCGATGAGGGGTTCATGGTCTGAGATGTTTGTACTACTTACCTATCACCTGGGTTGGTTCGAGGTTGAGAAGTAGTAGGTTTCATCGGAAGAGACGTAGGACACCGGGGATGGGCCAATACACAAGTTGTGTTTTGTGGTTTGGTAGTCTGTACTTATTGTGAACAGCCATCTACAGTATGCTTTGCTTATTCCTATTAATGTCCACCGCTAAAGAAGCGGGAGTGTGCTACATGTTTCACATGTGCAGCTGTGTGCAATTATCTCTATAATCAGTCCACGCAAGGGAGTTCATACGAATTACTATAGAGCACGTAGCGACGTAGTATGTAACTCCTGATATACCCCGCAACATTAAGCCTCCCAGGCTACGTATACCATGGCCCAGAATATCAATATGCCAAATTAACCGGGGGATTAAAACCCAACTCAGATGAATACTTACTCCGCAATTAATGGCAATCATGTGCTATCACTCGTGCGCGAGCTCAATTGGTTTCTGGCTTCCGGAACTGGGAGATTAATTGCGAAACCTCTTGAGTACCGAATTGTACTTGCTGAACTGGGGCCGGGATATTATATCCCTCCTAATTAGTCGGGTTGGTGGCGAGCATCGATCCCCGTAGCCTGGAAAGTGACTTTCAGTCGGTTCAGCCACAGAGAAGTCATGGCGTGGAATCAGAATCTTATTACATGCTGGAAACTACTCCCTCAGCGCTACATCCATCACGCCGCTATAAACAGCCCAAGCGCCACGATTCTAAACCGGACTAACCGTCTACCGCTCACCCCCCCCCGGGGGGTGGCCAACGTCACCACAAACCACACAGAAAAAAGGTTGTGAATAAAAATTTAAAAAACATCAATGTCAATGTGTTCGGTCATAGAACGATGAAAATGGGGCATCCCGTCCGCTCTGCCATACCCAAGCATCGTATCGCCTAGTTAGTACTGCAGTGGGTGACCATGTGGGAATCCTGGGTACCGAACTCTTTTGCCTCTTTTTTTTTCTTTACCTGTCTCTTGGAGCTTTCTTTATATTTGATATTGCCGGTATCGATACCTTACCCTTAGGATATACGTATTCCTTAGGGCCACTTTTAGCCTTGGACCAATCCCCCCCTCATGGACTGTCGATCTTTCCCCCTTGCTGTACCCTAGGATCAGCCGGCCCGCCTTCCTTTGGACAAAAAATTCGTTCCGTTTATGGGCCATTCAAATTTAATAGATTCTATACAGCGCCCGTTCTGATATCTTTCACGGTTGATATCATTGCCAAGAAAACACAATCGAGTGATAGCCTATGAATGTATCACGTGTGCCAGCCAGCCCCACCACTTACCTCCTAGCTACCCGTTCCTGGATAGCACCGTAGGCAGGTATCTCGGATATTGGTTATTGATAATTATAAGATTGCGGTCAGCATCACGGGGTGATGGATCTGCAAAGGGTGCTCCGCTTGGCGCTAATGCACCCCTTGGGTTCCTGCGGTGATTCTTCTAATCCCTTCGTCGCGAGGCTGTCTTGGATATTGCTTCTTGGGAGATTGTGTATATACTAAGTACCATGTGTTTAGAAAATTAGCGGAGATCATTCTGTAGTAAACATACATGTATTTAGAACGTTTTTGTTCGATGTACTAACGATTAAATTTTCTCCGCAAAGGAGAACAATTCCCAGGGGGGGCAATAGTACTTATGTATGTCTTTGGACTAAACACCGGGTAGATACTGGCTCAGTATCTGCTGAATGAACGTTCAACGATTCACAATCGTCTTTTAGTATGTTTGGGGGGGGGAGGGGATGGTAAAAATGGGAAAATTAGACATAATGGTATTTTACTTCTTTTTGCATAAGTTCGCCATGTCCCGAAAATTACCAGTTTCCGCATGAGCAGATTTCAGTGGTTAGGTCGTACCCCCGACGCCAAGCTCATTGGACATGAAGGGAGAAACGATCCGAGTTGGATGTCGAGTGATCGGGTATGAGTAAAAACGCATCCTGCGTAGGGACCCTGTTGCATAAGATTCTGTAGACCTGTCCATGCTTAGAGCTCTGTCAATGTTGATAGAGTTTTTGACGTTCGTACCTCACGGCTGTATGTTTCTGCAGATTTAAGTACTATGCAACCCTCGGACGGAATTTAAACATTTTCGAGGATGAAACACTTCTCTAACAAAGATTGTTGGGCATGGATATGTGGAGCCTAAGCGTCGCTATTCTTGCGGCTCTGTATACTTTGTTGAATCACTTATCATTGAACTTTGGTTGGGTCACACTTCATTCAACTTGAAGAATTTGATTATTAAATGCAGAGAATGGGCGTGCACATTTCGTCCACTGCACTGGCGGATATGTGATGAGTATCTACATTCATTAGCAGGTGGGCATTGCAGATTATCTCGGAAATGATACCATGTAGCAATGAAGGGGTACATGCATCGTGAGATCCCCTCCTACACGACGATAAGGAGGGTGTTTTTGCAGCGGAACAAACAAAACATATGAGTGCTCATACGACGTCAACTTCTATAAATCCCGGCTTTCCGCTACATCTTCTTGCTCCCACTATCAGCTCTCACGTTCGCATTTCCATACTCACCCACATTCTTTAACTTACCGCGACTCACAATCTTTTCAACCTCCACCAACACCTTCCAAACCACCCCCATACCAACAATGCATCCCTCCGCTATCCTCGCGTTTGTCTTTGCCCTCGCTGTCGCGGCTTCTCCCCTCATCAACCGCCAGACAGTCGCCTCAGGCAACGATGGCTCCGGCGACCAAAGGGTCGGCAATTCCGGTCAGAATAGTGGCAGCGCTGCTGCCAACAAGGGAAAGATCTCTGGCGACTACACCGTCGAGCAGGGCGTCCAGACCTGCGGAAACGCCCAGCTTAACTGCTGCAACAAGGTCGAGAAGATGGGTGATACCAAAAGTGCCGGTGTCTTGGGTAGTGTCTTTGGTAGCGGTGATGTCGGCGTGCAGTGCACCCCTCTCAACGTGCCTCTTGCGATCGCTCGTATGTATCCAGAATCTCCAGCAGTACTTGGAGGTTTCAGACTGACAGTTACGCAGTTCAGGTTCCTATCAACAAGGCTTGCGACGCAAAGGCCGCTTGTTGCCAGGGAGACAACACTCAGGTAATCTCTGCCTATTTGACACCCGCTCTGATAATTGCTAACTCTGATATGATAGAACGGTGTTGTCAATGTTGGATGTGTTGCCCTCACCTCTCTCATTTAGATAGTGGTTGCGGTATTTTCCAGAGTTGGATGGTCGGCTTTGCCAAAGTGGATTATCATATTCGGGTGGTGTTCCCAATTTATATATATTTTTCGTCTCTTTGTTTAAAGAGTTTCATAGCCTTCATTATAAATTTTAATTCTTAACACCTCATAAAAACTTGAAGCTACCTGACTCGTGTTTTCTCTTGCTATTTTTTGCACAATTGGCCATTTTTGTAGTTGGCCCGAGATCCCAGAACACGTGTGTCCCTGCCATGTAACTTTGAGCTGCCAAAAAGTTGACTGATAGTCACCGATGCTCGATTCTAAGAAGGGAGGTTGTTGATACTTTCCAATATAGACAAGACTCCATGATGGGATAATCACCCAATGCGTTCAGCATGGCACGAGTACGGCAAATGAATCTCCTCCGAACCTGATAGACTCGACCATAACCTCCCAGACACACACACATAAACCCGTGTTCTCCGCCACTTGTCACTTTAAGGTTGCACACATAGTTAAGGCTCAATGATAATTTGCATAGTCGCGCTAGAGTATATGAATTCTCCGCAAATGAAAAGTCTGCTTCCCTGAAACTATTTCAGAGCATGTTAATTCTTGAGAAGTACTTGTTAGATGTCGTATACTTCACATCATGACCGGCCAGTTCCTCTTGAGCACATGCCGCTGCCCCTAGTATCGACTTCTAAGGGGACATACGCCCGTATCAAATATAGCATGTAAGGGCCGTATCGTTCCAGAGGAAGATTAGACATTTTACTAGGAAATCCAGAAGTAAAGCTGCAGATCTCGGGCGCTCTATTTTGAAAATTAACGAAGGGTTATGTTGATAATGAAAATCGAGGTAAGGCTGATTCAAGATCCGCGTTCCAAATTTTAAGATGAGAAAGTATTGCAGCAAGGAGTACACCAACATCCGAATCTTCATACCTATATCGCGCTCGCCCTAATCAATGAAAACCTTTATAAACTCAGCAATATTCTCCTCCTCTATCTTCTTTCCTTCCTCACCATCATATCATCGCTACCACCACACTCATTTAGCATTCAAATTATTTTAATATTTCTCCATTTTTTTACCACCGCATATATTCACCATGCTTGTCTCCAACCTCTTCACTTTGCTCGCGCTTGCGCTTACCGTCTCCGCCTCTCCTCTTGTCGTCCGTCAGACCACCGCTTCCGGCAATGATGGTTCCGGTGACCAAGACGTTGGCAACAAAGGACAGAACTCTGGTAACGCGGCGGCCAACAAGGGCGCTGTAAAGGGTGACTACACTGTCGAGCAGGGTGTCCAGACCTGCGGTAACGCCCAGCTCAACTGCTGCAACAAGGTTGAGAAGAAGGGAGACACCACCAGTGCAGGGCTCCTCGGAAGCGTCTTTGGCAGTGGCGATTTGGGTGTTCAGTGCACTCCCATCAATCTTCCAGCCGTTATCGGTGGTATGTAGCTCTCTTGTTTGAGTATTGGATACAGCGGAATTGGAAGCTAACGTAATTTACTATCAAACAGTCCAGGTCCCAATCAACAAGGCTTGCGACGCAAAGGCTGCTTGTTGCCAGGGAGACAACAACCAAGTAAAACCCCCCCCTTCGCATTCCTCTCGCCATGCTCGTACTAACAGATTTAATAGAACGGTGTCGCAAACGTCGGATGTGTTGCTCTTACGTCGCTTATCTAGATGTGAACTATCGAGTCCGTCATGGTGTGCAAGGTGTGCGTGCCCCAAACAGATTGTCTCAATTATCCCAATTTTTCTTGTGTGTTTTTTTCCTTTTGTATTGGGCGAGACAACTGCGAAGGCCTCTTTATTGTAAACGTTAGATTTTGTCATAGCGGATCCTGTAGATTCTCTTGATGGGTAGCAATATAGACAATCTCTAAACTCGAGAACTAATTGTGCTGGGAACGGCGGGAATGTGACCGAGTGATAATCCATGACCGCACGTGGTATTCATGAAAGGAATGCGGTGATCATACCAAAAGCGAAAGTAGATCGCTTACTGCCCCCACCCAATATTTGGTTTTGAAGAGTCCCTACTGTGCGCAGGCACGCGCCCTTACGTGAGGTCCACATGTCTTCGCTGCTGATCTTCCGATTTCATAATTCTCTAACAGCGTAACCGTCCCAGTGGGTCGAGAGAAAGGTTTCCTTTTTCCGCAACGGTCAAACTCCGTACACATACGCATATCCATTTCCTCATCTAGTAAGGATCTGTTCCAGTTCAGGATTTATCGTGATTCGTGACCAGGTGCCTTTCCTCCATATGACTACGGCGCTCAAATAGCTCTGAACTCGTGATAAAAGTATCCCCAGAGATAGCCTATCATATGAGGTAATGATAGAGTAACGCAACGAAAAAGTCCTCTTCGGGAAACAAGTCCTGTACCCCACTGAGCATTCGCCCGGCTCTCTTCCTAATGCATGCTAAAAGCTACTAAGAATCCTGTATTGCGATCGTAGTTCAGATTAAACTACTCGTGATGTAATTAAATGAAGTAACGCCGGTGAACGAGTCCGTACTTACCCACAGCAAGACCAGAAAGTCATCAAATGAATGCAGACGACCGTTGCAGCGGCATACCTACAGATTTGACGATGAGATTAGTACCCCATCCCCCAATCAACCTAAAATTGTGGTATGCAGGTAGGTATGTCAACCCCCGCAACACCGGCTCTGGCATGATTCGCGCTGCATAATCTCCTTTAGTCGTCTGCAAACAAACATTCGTCCATACAACAACAAAACCAAGCTCCTCCGTATATCGACCTCCAGACCTAAACTTAGTATATAAGTCTTCTATATTCCCATATTGCACTTCCCTTCTCATCTCATCATCACATCCTCACATCTTCACACCTTCACATCCATCTACATTCCCATTCTTCGAAACTCTCAAACCTTTCAAATCACAAAACCTCCAAGTCTCCATTCAACATGCAGTTCAGACTCTTCGCCCTCCTCGCTACTGTCGCTCTCACTCTCGCTTCCCCCCTCCACATCCGTCGAGACAACAACGACAACAACGACAATAACAAAATCTCTGGCAACGATGGATCCGGGGACCAGATAGTCGGCAACAACGGTCAGAACGCAGGCAACGCTGCTTCTAACACCGGTAAGGTCAGGGGTGACCTCACTATCCAGCAGGCTACCCGGACCTGCGGTAATTCTCAGCTCAATTGCTGCAACAAGGTTGAGAAGAAGGGAGACACCACCAGTGCAGGGCTCCTCGGAAGCGTCTTTGGCAGCGGTGACTTGGGTGTCCAGTGCTCGCCCATCAACGTGGCCGCCTTGGCTGGTAAGATATCCATGGGGAGAATTGAACGCCTCAAGTCGTATGCTAACTGGGTGTTCGTACAGTGCAAGTACCAGTCAACAAGATGTGCGATGCCAAAGCTGCCTGTTGCCAGGGAGATAACACTCAGGTAATCATTCCTTTGCATTTCTTATTGCCATAATCTATACTAACCCCTTTTCTAGAATGGTGTTGTCAATGTCGGGTGCATCGCCCTTGCTTCCCTCCTCTAGAGGGATTTTTCTATCGTCGTTTGCCTCTCTCGTATAATAGGTCTTTTCTTTATTTGGTCAGCAGTAAAGGGGGATAATTTGGTTATAACAGTAATTAATGTGTATTGCAATTGGAGCAAGGAGCGGTTATCATAGTAGTTAGTTAGCAAGATTGGAGTAATAATAAATCAAACTTCATCCTGAATATATGCTCATCCCATGTTCCACGTCTCCTTAGGTCTACACTTGTGCCTTTATGCATTATTTTCATCAAAACTCACCTGAAAAACATGTGCCTGACGGAATCTAAAACTTTCCCGGGAAGTGATTGTGCATCTAAGACGGGGTGTATCAGGCGTCGTTTAACGTGGGATGTCGAAGAAATGTCTCTTGCGACAAACATCCGTGTACAATACATACACATCAGCTCTTAGCCATAGTTGCTGCAAGCGATTTCTGTGGATCTATACCTTTGTATGATAAAAGCTGCTTACCCCCCCCCGTCAGGCAAACAACGCAGACTTGGCTTACGCCTGATAAACTGCCGATCTCAGCCGATTCGAGCAAGATCACCTGTCTCGGAGTTTGGCAGAGCTCAGGCGAAGGGATCCCAAGGTTCAACATCTCAATCGTCTCGGACAGATCTCAACACCGCCGGGCCGCATGTGTATGTCTTACACCATGCAGGAACGTTGAATGATATCTCCGAACATGCAAGGGTCGCTAGAGGGAGAGAAGGGACGAAGAGTGGTTGAAGGAAGCGAGGGGTGAGGTTGGCATACACGCTAGAAGTATTCATGTGCAGTCACTCGAGCTAGGGTCTTGGCGCTAGTTGCTGAGTTCATGTATTTACACAAGCACATTTACGGCCTGTAAAGCTTATCGCAAAAGACCGAACGCAACATCAGGACGAATCTAGCTTTTCGGTCACTAAGTTTATACGACCGAATCTCGAAGGACACCTATTTACAAAAACATGAAAAAAAACTGCGTGACGCAACACCTCCGTGCTTCCTCCGAAGCGCGCCATTAGGATCATCAACAGATAATGGTACAAAACCTCGGCCAAAACTCCGGAAGGTAACCGCAGAGAAGAAACATCATACTAGGAACTAACACCCTCGGGGGATAAAGGAAGCTTAAGTGGATCTTATGGCGATATTGGTTTACTCTGAACTGACTTTGGCTAGAAGTCAGGAGTGCTGTGCAGCACTATATTATCGTGTTAGTTCCTTTGAAAGCATCGCTCGACTACTAAGTACTAATTGAGTCTTGGCAGCAATAATTCCCTATACTCGGAACCTTCCCAGCTTACCACAACACAAAGACATCGATCGCCTCTCTCGATTCATGATCTTGAATTGCAAAAAAGGAATTATTGCTGACCTGCCGTCTATCCCGGATCTCGCTCTGGACCAAGCGCTGCTGCAGGGACGTTAAGCAAGGGTGCATGGCGATGAATAAAACACCACCCACCAAGCACAATGAAAGGAAAGGAAACCAGGAACAGGCGGAGGTACGTAGACATGCTGTTTTTCCCCAACTCGATACTAGTAGGTCGGACTAGATACTTGCAGATCTGGATAAACTCAGATTTCGGGCACCTCCGGCAATATCCCAACCCTTGGGAAATCGTCTTTTGTTGATCCATCAGCAACACCTACTCCTCGGTCCCACTTCCAAGGTCCCACTACCACAAGATATTCCTTCATACAGGATCGAATCGGGGCAAAGCTAATACCCGGCAATTTGTGTAGTCTATGTATTCGGCTACTCTCTTCTAACGGGCAATAGAAGCCGGCGTAATTGGTTATATATCTACCTTGCTGCAAAATACACCAGGAACTCATGCATGGCCAGTGCTCTGACCTTTGGTATATATGGGACGCGGTATGTCTCAGGTCAAAAACCTATCCCCAGCCACAACTTTTACATCTCGATGATCGACATGTGACTTCTGCAGGTACCACATCTACTGATCGTCAAAAGATAGGCGTGTCTAGAACTCGACTCCTTAGACTGTCTATCCCAATTGTTCCCGGGTGTTTGAGAGTATTCTTTCAGGTATATGCGCTAGTAATAGGCCCCTTGCTTTGTTTGTTTCGTCTATCTATCTAAATAGTATAATCTTCCTCGTTGTGGTCAGGAAGCATTATCATTGGTTAATCTTCTTCTATTAGGACTGCTATAGAGTATGTACATCTGGACAAAGAGCCACTCCCGAGGCCGGAAGGGATGCAACATACATAAATTTATGTATATAGCATCCGATTTCATAGGTTGATAGTCTGCACTGGCTGCTGATATATAAGTATCTAGATCCATAGATACATGTACTATCGTAAATAATTGACTTCGTAGATAGATTGGACATTGCAATATCGACCCAGAGGTCGTAAATAGAACATTGGACAGTATTATCTCACTCTCTCAAACGTGAGCGAACTTGCGGTCGGAGGCTGCATTTCGCTTGTGTTTTATCGGCAAACCGGTGATCCAAGAAGCTAGGATCGATCATGGTCGTGGAACCCCCCACCCGCCACAAGTTCGTTAATGATCGACCGAACAAGTTAGCCGGTTACAGATATTTGCCACTGGTGCTGGGTTGGCTTCCCTTGGCCGTGGAGGAGTTGAGCCTGGGTCTTCTGTATTGCGGGGATGGTGAGAGAATCCGAGTAAGCAATATATATCTGGAGTATGATGGATTCCACGCTGGTGGGAAACACCAACAGCTTAAGCCTAGACACTACATCTGAAAGATAACTGACGTCAAAAATAGGCAGAAGATGGGGATGTATAAAGAAGTACCTGTGGGGTGGGTAGGCCAGGGCCCGATTAGTGAGGCGGTGATGCGGAGGCGGCGTGCTGTCGGGTGATACTACGCAGGTGGGTGGTTCTGAGTCTGGTTGTGGGGGTGGTGCTAATGGGTGGTATGTCGGTAGGCGGGTGTCTGTGCGGTTTGATGTTTTGCTTCTGTTGGATGTGCAATAGTAATAAGTAGTAATGGTAATAAATGGTAATCGTAATAAATAGTAGTAGGGGGGTGTATTCCCATTACGTTACTAAACGCCCCTTTCGCACTAGCCTCCGCGAGCCAGCCAGTAAAGCATGCAGCAGTGATCATTACCGGTGTTCCTATCATTACCTCTCTATATGCCGTGCCTTATCTCTCTCACTGCACTGCACTGCACTGCACTGCACTGCACTGCACACCCGCCCACTCCTCGCATTCCCATCCCAACCGGTCCGACCATTAATCCGGTGTCGCGCCCAGTCACAGGCCAGCCGTAGCGACACACCCAGCAACAGCAACACAGCAACACAGCAACACCCAGCACGGCCTTGCTTTCTTCTTCGTCGCTCGTCGCTCGTCGCATCCCTTACCCCGCAACCGGCATGCAGGGCCGGCCGGTTGTTACCACGCACCCAGGCAGCACACGCACACGCACCGCACACCACGTCACGAGAGATATCGATTCTGGCTGGACCCCTCTCTCTTGCTCTCTCTTGCTCTCTCTTGCTCTCTCTTGCTTTCTGTCCGTCCTGCTCTCTCTCTCTCTCCCTAAAACAAAGAGGACTCACCACCACCACCATCACAGCTCACGAATACACAGAGATAGATACAGAGAGATACAGAGAGACAGACAGATGGCCCCGCGACCGTACGAAAACAACTTCAGGGTGCGCCTGGCCAAGACGGGCAACGGCCCGGCGATATATGCAATCTCGTCGGGGCCGCAGAAGGGCGTGCACATGCTGAGGTTCCCCTCCCCCTCTCCCTCTCCCCCGCCCCCCCGCCCCCCAGACCCTAAAACTAAACTAACCGACAGCCACAGCACCGAGCCCCTCCCCCCCGCACTGCAATACATGTACCGCCACCCCATCAACATCCACAGCACCTTCCTCGACGTCACGGGCGACTTCCTGCGCCGCCGCTTCGACAGCATCGAGGCCGCGCAGCGCTGGATCGACGAGATGGACCGGTCGCCGTCGCTGCTGGCCGACCAGCTCGCCGCGTCGCTGTCGCTGTCGATGAAGCCGAGTCTTGCGGCGACGTCGCGGGAGCGGAGGAGGGATCCGGTGTATAAGGGGCCCGGAGGGGGGGTGGTGGGGATGGGCGGTGGTGCGGGGGGGATGGGGGTGGGGAAGGGGCCGGGAGGGATGGGGGGAGGGTTGGGGGCCGCGGGGATGGGGAAGGTGAGTGCGTTTAGGGTGGCCAAGAAGGTGGAGGGGCGGTATAGTAGGAGTCATACGGGCGCCATGGTGAGGAGAAGGAGTGATGGGGATGTGGCGGGGGTGGTGGGGCTGGAGAGGGGGATGGCGGAGGTGGCGATGGAGGATTAGTGGGGTGTCGGGGGCGGGGGCGGGTCGGGGGGTGAGGGGCGGAGGGGTGAGTGTGAGGGGTGGTTTTTCGGCGGGCGTTTTTTGTTTGGGGGTGGCTTATGTGTGCTTTTATATCTGGAGTGCGTTGTACGTGTTTATGTTAGATACCAGCTGTCGCTTTATAGCCCTCTTCCTTTCCTTCCTTCCTTCCTTCTTTCCTTTCTGCTTGTTTACTGCTTTGGTTATATTCCCTAGACTAGTACACGCATCATGCATGCACCTACAACATGTAGCTTAGGCTAGATTAGCAGCGTAGCGTAGCTTAGTAGACCATGTCCCCTTCCCATCCCATCTCATCTCTCATCCCGCCAGGGGCCTTTTGTTTTGTATGTCTCTTTTCATGTTAGTAGTCATAATTAAGACCAACCCTATCATGCACTCTCCCACTCTCCACCCCGCCCCCGTATACTCAGAAATCAAAACCATGAGACGTTGTCTTGGTATAGATGCACCGCTCAAAGCGGAGCGGAGCTTGAAGATAGGTAGGTACTACTAATCTTCACCGAGCTTCATTCAGTAGCTAGCTAGCTAGCTAGTGGGGGGGGGGGGATGTATCGGGGACACTTGTATCTTGATCAGAACCACCACCGCCGCCGCCGCCGTCGCCTGCAGGTGTTTGTTGCCCGCCATGATTTCTAACAACAGTGCGTGAGCTATGCAGCCAGCTGTAAGAATTTAAAAATAGTTAGCCGGTATCAATTACTAGCTAGCTAGCTAGCTAGCTACAAATACATATATACTGACTCAACGCGGCTGTCATATAACCTGGTCACATGTACAAGCAAGTACCAGAGCAAAAAAAAAAACATCTGGCTATCCCTAGCTTACTCTAGATCTGTCCCGGTGCCCGATTCGCAAGTCTTTAGCTTGGGCTGCCGCTGTCCGAGCGTCCCGGGAATTGAGGAAAGGACGACTGCCGGAAGAGGTTGGGTAATTGGTATAGGCCACAACCCCATCGCGAGACTGTCCTTTGAGATCTAGAGGGTGATATATATAGCAGTGCTCAAGCTGGCGATCGATATATAGCAAGAACCTTTATAATGCTACCAGTGCATAGTAATACTTATATATCGCCCCCCCACCCCCCCAGCTTGGCTAGAGATTAGATCGGGGGCCCTTGAAAACAGCTAGCGGAAGGGATAGTGGGCTCTAGGGGCCGTGGAAATGTGTACCTAGAATATTCAGTAAAGCCGTCGGGAAGGTCGTTTGAAGGGAAAATTGGACGACTTTACAGACGACTTTACCAACGATATTACTGATGCCTCTACCGGTCACGCGTTCTGAGCATATACACATTTTGGGGGGCCGGGGGGGGGGGGGGGGGATAAATTTTGGCTACCGCGCCGCGGTGATGCTTCACATGATTGACCAAGCTGGCCATCGCCAATGAAACGGATTCATCGCAAGGCATCCTATTATATATTATTATAACAGGATCATAAAGCCGGAATATCCTGCATGTATAGATGCCAAACAATAGATCCACCGAGATTAAAATTCTATTCCCCCCCCAAAATGTTACAAGCCCATTGATGTCAGACAACATTTGATGGATGATCGGCCTCATCGAAATAATCTGTTTGAGGACTCTACTAGCTATATCTCGAGCTAGATCCAAAAGCATGCATGGCTTCATTGATTTTTTCCGGCAGAAAACGGGAAACACTAGTGGAAACCATCAGTAAAGTCTTCTTTTAACAGGAAAATACATCGGTAAAGCCGTAATTTTTTTTTTTTTTTTTTGCATTTAACATGCCTTTCACAGCTAAAGTCGTCAGCAAAGTGGTAATTTTTTTTTTTTTTTTTGCATTTAACATATATGCCCTTAACAAGTAAATATAAAGTCGTCAGTAAAAAGGTCGTAATTTATTGCATTCAACACGGAAAAGGGCATCTGTAATCAACTCGTCGGTAATGGGGCAGGAATGCCTTTAACACATTGTAGTATTGCGGTTATTGCATCAAATAATGTGTATCTCGCACCTTTTTGTATGGGAAACGTCCACAATTGATGCATTTCCACGGCTACTAGAGCCCGGGTGCATGCCGAAAGAACGACTTAATTCAGCGAGCACTTAATTAGTATCATCACATCTTCAACGCCCCCGCCCCCCCCCGGGATTCAAGATAACTCTGCATTCCTTTTTTTTTCTTTTTCTTCTTTCGGATAAATCCAGTCATTTTTTTTTTTTTTTTAACAAAGCTCCCAACCCTAACCCTGCTACTCCACGTCTCTATTTTTTTTTAAAGATAAGGGTTGATAAATCAGTGACTCTTCAGTGCTCGGTATCGCCTAGTTAGTACTGCAGTGGGTGACCATGTGGGAATCCTGGGTACCGAACTCTTTTGTGGACTTTTTTTCTTTTGCTGCGTGGTGGGGGGTTTTGGGAGGTGCGGGGGAGGGGAGGTGGTTGAGAGTGGAACTTGGAAGGAATAGTCTTGGTGTGGGTGCGGTGCGGAGTTTTTTTATATAGGAGGGAGGTCGCAGCGGGGCCGGGGGGGTGGTGGTGGATAACCCTAACCCACGGGCTTCGCATCAACCACCCGATTGATGAAACCGATACAAACCAACTAACTGTATAACGTCATTCACGAATGGGGAAGAAGACTGTTGCTGATGGCATGCGATGCGGATATTACGAATCTTCCATCTGCTAATTGGGAAGGATAAACAGGTCAGCGCTGTGGAGGGAGCATCGCAAGATGCCACCCGGCGGCACTTGCGGGGAATGGGGAAGGCAGTAAGCGTGGGTTATGATATAACAATTATATATACAGGTCGATCTCCTCATATTCGATAAAAGTGTTGCATATGTAGTCTTTGTCACGTGGCTTTAGGAAGAGGAGGAGGATAAAAGGGAGAGACTTCCCCTCTTCCGAATCATCATCAACAAGCATAGTTATATACCCCCGTTATTTTATTGCATGCTACAGTTTTGGGGTACTATGCAAAAAAAACCCACATTCACTGCACTGGACGCCTCGACATTGCTGGCACCCACCCACAATCGACGAAGAACACCACCACCCGGCGGGTGACAAGAGGCAAAGTATCGATCCGGATAGAGCGCGGGGCCGGGGGTTCATGGGCAGATAGATGACTGTTTAGGGATGAGAGACTTCAACTTCTTGGCAGCTGCTTCTGCGGTGCATGTCAAGGCTTTGCAATGACTCAGACGGCCAGAGCTAGCTATAGATAGTGCGCGCGGTTCTTACTTTGTGATATTGAAGGATAAACATGACGGCTAACTATATACTGTATACTATATTCAGCTCCCCATGGCCACCAGCAACGATTTCACGATCTGGCATACAATCTGCCCCGCCGCCAACCGCCTTGACGGCATTTGGCAATATCGCGATTTTGAGCATTATATTACTGGTGTTGATGATAAGTTGCTTATTTTAGTTTAGCTCACCTCGAGTCCGTTTCCAATATTGGGCGTACTAGTAGCAGTATATATCTTTAGCCAACTGTCCCTGACCACCACCGCCACCACCACCACCACCACCAGGAAAAAAAGGCGGCACCTACATCGCGCTCCTGTTTCACCCACGCATCCATGATATGAGCGCGCCCGGTTCCTTTGAGACCCTCAGCATCTGCTCCACCTTCCACTGGTTCTCCGGGCGAATACCCGGGTAGCTAGTGGGATGTCCCGGCTGCGGGTCATAATCCACCAGCAGCTGTATCATCTCCTCCACATTCGCGCCCATCGGCACCTCGAACCTCCGAGCCCTGGCAAAGCGCAGCAACGCCTCGTTTCCCCCTGCCGTAAACGCATTGCAGTCGCTCTCCTCTAGCAGGCGCCGCGCCAGCGCCAGGTCCCCGTGGCGCACCGCGCGGTACATGCACGACTCCTCGCTGGGGTTGTCGTAGCAGTATGCCCGCGCACGGCCGGGACCGATGCCGTGGCACAGCAGCACCCTCGCGGTCGAGACCGCGGCGGCGCCGGCCGTGTTCAGGAGGAGAAGCAGCGAGAGGCGGTGCTTGAGATGGGTGCGGAGGCGCTCCTGGCCGTCGGGGATGACGGAGACGGGGGCGATGGCGAGGGCGATGGCGCGCTCGAGGGTGGCGGGGCGGCAGTGGGCGGCCGCCCACATGGCGATGTCCGCGACGCCGGCCGTGAATCTCTGGTTGAGCTGCCGTGCGAAGACGGTGTGGAGGGTGCGGCAGGTGCGGGAGAGGAGGGAGAGCTCCCGGGTGGTGGCGCCTTCGCCGATGATTAGCATGAGCTCGGCCGGGAGTGCGTGGTTAGTGAAGGCCATGATGGTCGTTGTTGGTGTTGGTGTTGTTGGTGTTGGTGATGGTGGATGGTTGATATATGGTGGGGATTCAGCGGGGTTGAGTGAGTTGTTCAGGCGCACCAAATCACCGCTGATTGGTGGTGGATGGATTTCTTTCTTTGGGCGCGCAGATATATATGGGCAAATCACAACTCGGCCACAGAACACGAGCACTTGGAATTGGAATCTATGGATTTTTAAAGAAAAAAACCCTATACGAGCTCTGAAATGAAATGCAAAAACGTCTATATACTGCATGCACCGGATACCCTCCTCCGGGACGTCGTCTCAGGTCAGCAAGTCTCTCTACGCATCAACAACACCGAGAAGCTATAGTACAGGCCTGCAGAACAACTCTCGCTCAGCAGCAGCAGTACGCATCCGTCAGCAGGCTTGATTGATGCAAATTATTCTCTAGATCATCCCAGAACGCCTACGGCAGGTTTGAAAACGGGATAGAAACAGCTAGCTCCGGGGCTGTGGGGAGGGCCTGGGACCTATGTACGTAGTCCTAAAGATCCCCCTAATTGTGATCGGGGGGGCCGGTTTTTCGGGCTGTTAGGCCGGAGGGCCCCGAGTGATAATACATGACGCCCACCACAGCCACAGAAGGAGTCCGAGTCTTTTTTTTTTTTTTTTTTTTTTTTTAGACTGAATGGCGTCGGATTAGATTAGGTTTTTTTCCCGAGATCTTACATATGCAGAAGACCGTCCGTCATCTGGCATCTATCAAAGTGGGGATTATATTCGAGCATCAAGCTGATCAAGTCCTGATATCAACCCAAGGCCGAGCTCAACCACCTCAGGCGTCAATCAATCATGACTTACTTACCAACTGCCCGTATCACCACCACCACCACCACCACCAAAGACCTCGCCGTCCCTTCTATCACCGACGTAAACGCCCTTTCAATCTAGCTAGGCCAATAGTGAAAGTCTTGGCGGTTCCTTACCAACACGTAGAATCCGAGTGATGGAGGGTGACGGTGAATGATTGTAATTAATGTTTCGTTGCGGCACTTGTGCTTCTTTTTTCTCTAAATACTTTGATCACATGTGGCCGAGGCAGTAAGTTCTAATGTTGATCTTGTGACTCCTTTTTTTTTTTTTGCACTTTTCTCCCACCAACCTCCATGACCGCCCCCACTAGCATCATCACTCACGAGTCACCACCACCCCTCGAATACGAGAAAAAAAACCTCAACACAAAAAAAAAAAACCACCGCTCCCAACAAGTACCACCAACCACCACCAGGCAACAAAAAAGAAAAGATCAACAAAAGAGTTCGGTACCCAGGATTCCCACATGGTCACCCACTGCAGTACTAACTAGGCGATACGATGTTTGGGTATGGCAGAGCGGACGGGATGCCCCACTTTCATCGTTCTATGACCGAACACGACAGTATCAATGATTCCTGGAATTTATTTTGAAAATTCGGTCTTGGTGGCAGGGTTAGGGTTGGGTGCTCGTAACGTTGGGAAATGACTGAGCCCCCGGATTGTCACACCCCGTCGTGGTGTGGGGTCTTTGTTTGTGGGGTTGGGTGTTGTGGTGGGCGCTGGATGAAATGGTATCGTCCTGAGATTTGATAATAAGGTGCTCTTAATGAGATGTTCCTGGTGCTGAGCACGGGTAGCTATTTCCAGTTTTTGTGGTATTGGGTAGAGTGCCGTACTTGAGTTCAGGGGGCCGGAATACTCGCAGCCGGAATAATAAGCTGGGTTATACACGGGCATTGATTTTATTCGGTTCGGCCGCATTTTCACCGGTTTCATGGCGGGTGTGGAGCCGGATGTATTGGAATGGAGCATCTGTGGCGGGGGTGGGTGGACATTTTGAGTTGGGCGCGGGTATCTGGTGTGATTTGTTGAGACGTATTTAAAGTGTCGATTGGGGACCCGTCTGTCGGTTCTATCATGGTCGATCATGATATCGGGGACGCAGTTGCTCATATAACGGTTCCCGGTATAAATTTAATTTTACTATTCTTCTAACATCTGGTAAGCCGCGTACGTGAGGGCACAGATATTGATGCCTTTTCTACGGAGTATAAAAATTAAGTACGTCCAATCTTATAGCTAAGAGATGGAGACTTGAGGGATAGAGTTATTGATTAATTCCAGGGCACTCGGTGAAAATATTCTCAATTGCAATCTCCGTTCGATCGCTGTGAAAATGGTTTTCGATATAATCGGCAAACAATAGGTTCCTCCTAAACTACAACAAGTGAGATAATCGATCGATAATATATCCGGACCGCATAGTACTAATCCTTTACCTTTCCTTCGAAACGGGAATTCTACGCCTGAGTGTCGAGGAAATAATGAAATAGCAACGTCCCAAGCATGAGATCAAGACTGTTTGGCCAAAGGAAACCTCCTCTCGTTCATTAAACTACTGCTATCGAAGGGATAGCGCAATTATAACAGAGTACCGAATGAATTCTCTGCCTCCCAGAGGACCACACCGGGGGTTAGAAGAAGGGATGGTGGTTAAGTTGAATGTATATGTGGCATCCATACCTAAGAAGTTAGTTTAGAAGTCTCTTGGGAGCAAAAACGACGTTCTGAGGGAGCATAAGTGAAAATACGTTAGTAGAAGACTTACTTTATACTAAGTCAATTTCGTCACCCTGTGGTGCATCAGTGCTGCATACTAGCTACATACAAGTAGACACGGCTCTATGACTGAGTGGGGCAAGCGAAATCTTCAGAGGAAACGTACTGGTCAAAGGCAGGCTCGGTACGTTGCCGAAACAGTTAAACCGTAGTACGGGTTCTCATTCCATCTTATCCTCCTCATCATAACCATCATAATCATCATCATCCAATTACTCCGTTCAGCAGCTCGAGACAACGCCGACGAGTATTTCTGTTTCCGGTACCAGCCATTCATGAAATATCACTCACTCACCCACCGTCAAAAGTACCACACTTACCCCGCCATACGTAGGACAAGAATAATGTTTGACTCATGGCGGTTCAACGTATTCCGGCTCAAGCTAGGATTAGGCATAGTACATCAGATGTTATAACCATGCGCATACTTCCATGTCCTGGTGCCCGTGCTAATCCATACGCCGGGAACGAATCAAGTCCAGGCCACCAACACGAAGCAAATCACCTTCTATTTACAGTACTACCCACCCTGTAGAGAGACCCTTACCACATAAGCGACATGTCTCTTCCGAGAAATTATCGTGCCCAAAGGACTCGCTATTCATAAGCTCTGATCGGTGGACGGTGAATCCCTCTATGAAGGAGATTTGCTGTTTCTTTGGGGAATGCCCCCTCTTCATCTATCATGCCCATCTTGAAAGCTCAATAACATGGTTTTCTAAGTATCTCCGACTCCATACCAACCGGCCATCTCGATGCTTTGGATCCTGGGGCTCTCATTCACATCCCAGAAGGACGCGAGTGAGAAGCTGTGCGCCAAGCTCAACATGCGGTTGTTCCAAACCGGGACTTTATATACAGGCTCTACTTCCGGTCTACTCGATTGTAATTTACGTTCTTATATGTTCATCCGCTCAGTCAACCTGTGGGGGGATCGAGCGGGCAATAATCGTGCGGCGAAGCAAAGTGAGGTGAATATCAGACATACCACGTCCGCAGCGCTGTGAAGTAGTGGCTTTCTTCCTACAAAAGCACATCGCATACATTCAAATCAGCAATGGATTTCTTACTCACGGCTGCCAATATAGTTTACACATATTGAACAGAAAATCAATGGCCATAGCCCGTATTTCTTGAGGGCCCTGATCTATCAATAAACTAATCAATCAATGATCTTTCCCGGAAATTGATGACGTCGATACATACGTCTACAATCTCAACGTTATGTGATTCTGAAAGTCCTCTATGCTAAATAATGGCCCCTATAGTTCCCGGATATCCGTTTTGTTGAGGGTGCCTGGTGTATGCACGCCCAAGGACATGGTTTCGTCGGGTTGCACAAGCCGAGTGACTCACTAAGAACCAAACCCAGACTTGGAACACAGTCAGGGATAAGTTGAGTAATCGGAAAAGATTCCTCTATGGTGCAACACTGGGGGCTTGGGGGCTTTATCGGTGTGGTCCTCAATAAGGTGGCCCCCCCATATGCCTACTTCACCATAGATTCTGATATCTTGAAATTCTCGACGCTCGATGGAACTGTTTCGTGTAGATCACTTACGATTACTTACTCGCATAATTACAAGTGCATAAAAGAGTATCCCGGACAGAGCATAATAATAACTATGGGCCATCCCTGCCTGGCCTGACCTCACGGACTCCCGGCGGCCGACCCCCGAACAATTATGGCCTCATGGTCCATTATAAAGCTACTGGTCCCGGGAACCAAGATACCGCCTTATCAAACCAATAAGCACCGATAATGGCATATACAACTCTCCTCTGGGCGCTTGTTGCCATCCTCTGTCCCTATTACTTCAGGCCTCTGATCCACAACCTACTTACCTATCGCGCCAATGCCAAATTTGCCCGCGAACACAACTGCCGCCCCCCAAAGGTGCACCTCACAACGGCCGTCTTCCCCTTCAGCATCATCCCCGTCTACCAGTTCGCGCGCGCCGCTGCGTCAAAGCGCCACATCAACCATTTCATCGCCCAGGTCCAGCGCTTCGGTAATACACGCGTCTACTCTTCCCCGCTGTTCATAGGCCATGTCATTGTTAGCATTGAACCAGAGATCATCAAGACCGTCCTCGCCACCAACTTCGCCGATTGGGAGCTCGGAAAAATCCGCCACGACGCCTTCTCGGCACTGCTGGGCGACGGCATCTTCACGAGCGATGGCAAGGTCTGGGAACACGCACGCGCTCTGTTGCGCCCGCAGTTTGTCAAGGACCAGATCTCGGATCTTAACGATCTCGAGATACATTTCCAGGACCTGCTCTCGATTCTGACGGCGCCGGGTGAGGGTCAGGTCGTGGAGCTGCATAAGCTCTTTTTAAGCTACACCATGGACACGTCGACGAACTCGTTGTTTGGGGAGTCGGTGTTTTCGCTGCGCAGGCGTGGCGGCGACGGCGAGGGCGAGAGCTTTCAGGACGACTTTGATTATGTGCAGGTGGCGCTGGGGTATCGGCTTATAGTGTGGGGGTACCATCATCTGTATCGCCCACGCAGGCTGCCCAAGGCGCTCAAGCGGATACATGACTATGTGGATGAGTTTGTCGACCGCGCGATCCAGAGACATAGGGCCGAGAAGAAGGAGGAGGGGAAGTATGTGTTCCTAGAAGAGCTCGCGCAGGCTACACAGGACCGGAAGGTGTTGCGGGATCAGACTCTTAGCGTTATGATCGCAGGCAGGGACACAACGGTGGGTTTAGTATTGTGGGCTGGGTTCTGAACTCTATTGGCTGACTTGTATGCAGGCAACATTACTGTCGTGGGTGTTTTGGCTGCTGTCGAAGAATCCGAAGGTTTGGGAGAAGCTGAGGCAGGAGGTATTGTATGAAGTTGGGAAAGAGCTACCAAACTATCAGCAATTGAAGGATTGCCGGTACCTCAAGTGGGTGATCAACGAAGGTAATTCAAGTCCTGAATTCACCCATTCTGTTAAATGCTAACATGTTGCCTACCCCACCCAGCACTGCGATTATACCCGGTCCTCCCCATGAACTTCCGCGTCTGCAACAAAAACACCACCCTACCCATCGGCGGTGGCCCCTCTGGGGACCTCCCCATGTTCGTCCCGAAGGGCTCCCGTATCGTGTACAGCGTGTACGCCTTGCACCGCCGCACCGACATCTACGGCGCCGACGCCGACGAGTTCCGTCCCGAGCGCTGGGGTGAGATGACGCCACGGGCGTGGGAATATCTTCCGTTCAACGGCGGCCCGAGAATCTGTATTGGACGTGAGTTTACCCCGCTCTTGTTGAGTGAGTGAAGTGGCCGTGGGGCTGTGGCTAATATGCTGGTAGAGCAAATGGCACTGATTACGGCGAGTTACACGATTGTGAGGATGGTGCAGGAGTTTAGGGCCGTGGAGGATGCGGATATAGTGAGGGAGCAGGTGTTGACGAATATTGCGCTTACGCTGAGTCCTGCGAATGGGACGCCGGTGAGGTTGTATAGGGATGTGGAGTAGGGAGGGGTGTGTGCTGTTTTATTTCGGCTTGTGGTGGTGATATAGCAATGTAAATGAAATAGTTAGATTTAACTGCAGCTAGGGGTGCAAGGATGGCCAAAACCGTTGCCAAGAGGCTTGGCTGGCGAGACATGCATGAGCCGTAGAGGAAAAGTGACTTGGCTAAATGCTTCCCTGCATGATGATATTGGATGACATAAGCTATGATGCGGCTGAACTCATGTTTTGTGGATTCCGCCACTGCCTGAGTTGAGCCTCAGAGGAACTTTTCGAAACCAAGCAAAACTCGAAATTCCTCGTACGGGGCGTAATAGGTTTTAAATTTGAGGAAACAGGCTTCATGTAAATGGTTACTTGTGTAAGCTATTAATAAATGTATCATGTAGAGTAGATCGTTCTTGCAATTGGCGAGAGACTGCGCTGCTAGAAATTGATACGTAGCGGACAGGGACTTTTAGGACGTAAGGCACGGACCCTTTCCCCACACGCACATAGCCTCTACCTTAAATTTAGTGAAAACTGGACACATGTGACAAACATTTAGCGACACCATATCAGAGCTGACAAACATTCCTCCTCTCTCTCATCCCCTCTGCCTCACCGCTCGATATCTGGAATTGATCTGTTTGCTGCATCAGAAGTTACTGGGGAAGCTAGGACGGTGAATTCAGCTACTCCTGCTAGCCCTATCTATCTGGGCTTGTGTCAGCGCACGTCCGTTCGAATCGGCTGCGTATGTGGCTTTATTAGGATCTAGATGTGGGCGTCGAGGTATATATGTAATTCGCACCGTTAGTGATGCGGCATCGTGTGAGAATACAAATCTGGATAACTAACTCCACATACTGCCAGAAATACCGTAAAAAAAAAAAGCTGTATCGCTACCTCAGTCAAGCAGCATGTTGATGGATCCCGCTGCAACTTCACCAACCTTTCCGGCACTGTATGTACCACTCACTCGGCGTTTGGCAGTTTTGGATGTCAATATATATTAACAAGCAGCTGTAGCGAGGGCTGACGGCTGCGGGTCTGGGGATTGGCTTTTTGCACAGGATGGACGATATTTTTCTGAGTTCTAGGTGCTTTATAATATCATCTGTGGCTAATTGTGGCGGAATAACTCAATTTTTATTCGCTAATGATGATCATGTACAGCCACCAAGATCTGAGATCTACCCCCTCACAGCGTTTTCAACCTCGAAGAACCACGCTTAGCCCAAGCTTAAGGTCCATCACCCCTCGATCATTGACACTGGCAAAATGAGGTAAAACCCGAAAGCTCTCCTAGCTGACTGAGCCGGATTAAAGTACTGACCAAGCTGGTAGTTTTAACCGAGATCCCTGGATTACTGCCCAGGAGCGATATCTAGATGGACTAAGCGATGAACACAAAGATCTTTATAAGGAGGCTTCGGTGGAGAATCTTTTTTACAGTACCAGCGCAGCACAATTCAAACACGAAAAGAATAGCAAATCTAGAGCTGCGGCGAAAAAACTTCAGCCCCTCATTGCTGCAATCACTCAATATGGCGGTGCTTTAGATGTTCTCTCCAACACTTCTACCCTGTTCTTTTCACCCATCTGGGGGGGGTTTACGGGTTCTTTTACACGTATGATATCGATGCTCACTTTCATTTCTGTCTTGAGATAGATTAAGAACTTACACATACTGTGATATCTGAACCAGATAGCAGGCGAGTTTGACAAATATTATTCAAGGCTTATCGATATGCTAGAAAGGATAGGGGATGTGATTCCCCGATTTAAAGCTTATGAACGTCTCTTCCCGAATCACGAACAACTGCTGTATTCACTGTCAGTCGTATATCTTGACATAATTAACTTCTGCGTGGACGCGAAGAATGTCTTTCAAAAAGTCAAAAATCGCAAATGATGAAGACATTTCATAAATCTCGCTGATATTTTTCCCTGACCATTGTTCGTTTAGCTCGATTTTCCTTCCCCGGAAGTGGCTTGCGGGCTCTCAAAGTAGTCTGGAAGCCATTTTATCAGGAATTCGGGAATATAATCGACAGATTCCGCATGCATTCCGAGAGAGTAGATATGGAAGCACAAATAGCCCATATGGCCGAACAAGCCAACGAGAGTAGACGACAAGGCAATGAAAGAGAAGCTCAGGCCCTGGAAAGACATGCCGCCGCAAAAGGAAGAGAACGACAGCTCCTGTTGCATAAGGGTGGGCATTCTAGTCCTTATAATTGACCATACCGTTTCGAACGCTAAATATTCATTTGATGATAAATGATAGAACAAGCGCACCAGAATATATTACAGAAATTATCACGATATGAGCCCGAATACAAGCATCGCATTATAAAGAAGGCGCGCATCGAGGGTACTGGCAAATGGATGCTAGACTCTCCGGAATTTGAGGCATGGCTATTGGACCCAGGATCCTCATGTTTATGGTGTTACGGGATTCGTAAGTGACCCTCTAACGAGATGACTCATCAACTGCTAAAGCTTGTGGCGGAAAAGCTGGATCTGGAAAGACGATTGTGAGGTGAGCATTTTTGGATGCATCCGTTTATCTCCTCTGGTTAGAGGGGAGAATCTTGGGAGCCTCCTCGGATATAATGAGTATTACTGGTGTGCACTTATTTCCGCAATAGGGTTTGGCCAGGCCATTCCTGATAACGCAAAAGAGGCTTTTTCCTTTCTACATCAAAAGGACCGGCAGTCTTACCTAGAGACATCGTAAATCGATCACACTAGCTATTGTATCAGGAAACACGGTTCTGGCCGAAGGACTTGTCCGGCAAGAGCTTATAATACGTCTATCACCTTCCGAGTTACATAAATACGAGCCAATGGTGGAGCTTGCAGAGGAATATGGCTTTCAACAATTGGCAGGGTTGATTAAATCCAACATTTTACGGGCCTATCGATCCTAATATAAGTCCAGCGGTATTTTTCACATTTCCTTACACATCCTAATGCATCTTCTCTACCAATTTGTATAAGGTTAAGGTTTATTAAATTAATCGATGGCACATCGG